ATTCTAGTCATGCTTTTGCAACTCACTATTTCCTATGTGAATTCTCAGAATCAGTAAATTTGTCAGATTATTTGTAGATGGATTTTATTCTTCATCGTTATTGCTTATTCTTAAGTCATGCAAGAAGTTTGTACAGGATCCTTAAAAAGAAAGGCTTGAAGGTGTTTTAGAAGATGGACTTCCACTTGCCTTCTTTTTCTGGCTTCCTACTGATATGGATTTATTTGTAATGGGTAGAAGGAGCTGAGGAAACTGGAATACCATATGCCTCTATAGAGCATACTTGGGCAACAGTCATGGACAGGAGAATAAAAACAAGACCTGAATTCTACCAAACAACGCAATCAGAGTAGAATTGGCCAAGAAAAAACAATCACTTCAGCCACTGAAATATGAAGCCTATTTCTGACTCAGGACGGGAGGGATGTAAATTTAAACCTATGGGTTTAACTCATTAACTTGCTGCAATTTAGTTTTAGGTTGCTTGCCTGAAATGAATAGGAATGTGGTATCTGAAGGTATCATGGCTTAAATACTGGAAGCCAGCTTTTGAAAGCTATACTTACAGACTGTAAATGTGATCACTACTTTATGTCAGGGCATATAAAATAAAGTTTAATCAGTGTTCACTTGTTGTGATTATTCTTCATGCACATTCTAAAGTTATTATAAGGTATTGCACTTTTTCTTTGTGTCTTTAATATTTACTTTGCCACTTGGTGGCCTCATTTGATAAGGCAATAAGCAATAAAAATGAAACTTTTTTTTCCACGGGTGTGCAATTCAAATCTTGATATTCTCCCTGTACATCCAGGGACGCTATATGCCTTGTTGCAACTGAATGCGTGTATGCTGTATTGAATGCTGTGCTTCTTGAAGGCCTGAATCACTGATGTTGAAGTGAGCAGACCTGAGAGCTTTTCAGTAAGGACAGAACTGAAGTGGATGACTCTTTTCTCCCTTTTCTTCCTTGCTGATCTCTGATGTCTTTATATTCCTTACTCCTTTGCTCCTCCAAACAAGCAGAGGATCTGCTACCACTATAGTTTAAATTATTTCTAAGGTTAGAACTTGTTCTTATTTTACTGATTTAATGACTTGCAAATGCTTTTCTGTATCTCTCTTGTGAAGGTATATCACAAGTCTCTATCCCTTTGCAAGTCTCTATCCCTTTGGTTAATGCTCCTGTCAATGATGGGATAGAAACTCAATGCCTGTAAAAAAAAAAAAAAAAAAAAAAAAAAAAAAAAAAAAAAAAAAAAAAAAAAAAAAAAACAGTTAAAGAAGATAATGATTAACACTTAAAATAACACCTGATTCTTGTACCTCAAATTGACTATCTTCTAAAAATGTTGTGGCACGGTCAGGGTTTCTGTGTCTTTTCCTGATCTTGGTGGCTGTTGATTCTCTAAAATAACATGACCTTTTCCTGCCTGGTGCCTATTCATTATTATGACTTTTTTTTTAGCTTCCTGCACTATTTGCTGTGATTCTCTGATGTTTTTGTTATAATGTTTTCAAGTTAATCCCAAGTTGGTAGTGTTCTGAGTGTTACAATTCTGGCTGAACCCTGGTTGGTGTGTGATACAGGTAAGCATTGCAAATGCTTAAATTGGATAGATGAGAAATGTTACACACTTATTTTTTCTACATGGAGCTCTGTTTTCTGGCTATTTCTATTAAAATGCAGAAAAACAAACAAACAAAAACAGCAGGTATCCATATATATCTGTTATCATAGACCCTAGAATTGTTGCTAATTGGCTCCACACACAAGTAGTGATTGCTATTGCAGGAGTAATATTCTGTTTTTATTTGGGGGGAGTTGGGATACCTTCAGACCGCATTCCAGTAGGATAGGCCTTAATGTCTACAACCCCATTTCTTACAGTACCTTTCCAAATTTGTTAATATGCTGTCACTAATGATACTTAGCTTCTAATGAACTGAATGAAGTATCACTTCAGACAATAGCTATTCTGCCTTGTAACCATCTCTGTCTCCTGTATGGTATCTTCACTTCTCCTAAAATTGCAGTTCAATCCCATTTCAGTGGTTAAAACTTAGGCCACCCCATGCGCTGGTTTTCCCATAACTTGTGTGTTGGTGATTACTGCTCCCAGAATCTACTGTGCTATTAGTAGTTTCTGTAACTGATGGTTGAGTCCAAGTATAAGCTGAAAACAATGTTAATACCACTTTCACTTTCTAATTCCAGTACTTTTTCTTTTATAAAGCTAATAGTTTTGCTAATGCTATCCACATTTAGATTCCCATATGACACTAGTAACTCTTAGGTAAATAACTGTCAAGATTATATGACTTCATGTTTTTTAATATTGCATACAATATGCCCCAAGTTTGATAACTTACTAGGCAAAGTTTAAAGTTTAAAGGAGTCTAAAATTTGAGTCTCAGCTTCTACTCTCTCCTAAATGGTATCTGTCATCCCTCTTGGAATGTTGCACTCAAGTATATGGGATCCGTTTCTGGGTCAGTGCTACAAATGTCCCTTTAATGAATGGAGTAGAATCTTTGGTTTAAAAATTAAAGCAACATGAGTAACAAAAGTCTATGATCGACACTTCTGACTTTTGTTTGTTTGTTTGTTTCTTTGTTCCAGTTTCTGCTTTACTTCTGACTTTCGTAGTTGGTTTAACCATCTCTGGTGTTTTTCACTCATATTTCATTTGGTGTGGTTGTTCAGGTTTCAACACAATTACTGCAGGTTATTTTGATTTCCAGCCAAGTAAGCTGAAATAAAATTTCCAGGTTAAATTTGTATCTTGCTTCATCCACCCATAATATGATCTCTTACAATCAGAGACATCTGTTAACCTCATAAGATTATTCTTGACTTCACAGAGCATAGATTCTGTGAATTAGTGAATTCAAAATGTGAATTCGTATGAATTAGATTCTGTGATTAGTTTCACACTTACCTCCCATAATTTTAAAGTAATGGAGATGTGCGTCCAAAGGTCATATGGTTTCTGATTAAAAGAAGAAAGAAGAAAAGGAAAAGGAGGAAAAAAAAAAAAAGAGAGAGAGAGAGAAGGGGAAAAAAGAGGGGAGGGGGAGAAAAAGGAAAAAAAAAAAAAGAAAAAAGAAACATTTCCATTGCCACTAGAGTTATGGTCTGCTATCAATAAAAAGAAGTGTTCCTACTGTTCCCATGTAACATAAATATTCACATTTTTTAATCTAATAAAATAAACATAAACCACACTGAGACATAGACTAGCAATTAATTTATGCTTCTTTTAATAGACTTTCCACTGATAATGACTTTGGTGAGATGTCACATACATCTTTACTGTTAAATTTTAATAGCAGCATTTATAATATAACATCATTCCTTTTCATTAACTCATTCACCTCTCCATAATAACATTAAACCTGGAACTATATAGGTATTTTTCTGTTCTGGAGTTTTATGTCATATGTTTAAGGTCCTGCTTTATTTATAATTGGAGCTGGTCTATCCCATTTACTGTTTACGTTGTATAATATAATGTTCCATAAATATGGAACATTATTTTCCATCCTATTTGCCATTCTGCAGAGTAGTGGTTTGTCCCTGTTTGTTTATCCATGCGTTGAGTGTTTCTTCCCAGTTGAGTTGCTATAACAACATTAACCTCTTTCCAATGTTTGCTTAGGGCCTGTATCCGTTCCTCACTTAAAACATTAGGCTGCCATTCAATTTATTTTTTTTTCCTCCCAGGCATACTTCTAAATCACGTGAACTTGTGAGAAGTTGTTATGGCTCACAGGCCATTAAAATGCCAAGGTGATGCAGTATCCCAAACTTTTCTGTAACTTTTCTCCATTTGGCCTAACACTATTTTTATAGTTCCATTGGTTCATTCAGCTCACCTTGAATTAGGAGTTCTCAGCAAATCTGGAACCTTTGTCTTATTCCTAAGCCTCCACATAATTCCTTCAGGAATTTTCCCCTGGGAAATACATTCCTTGCTCCAAAGCAATTTATTGGTTTAAATCCCATCTGGAAAATATGGTGTTAGACACCTGCACTGTGGTAGGCTTTGCAGTAGTTTTCTGTACTGGTGCTGTCTCAAGTCCATTTTGTCAGTGGATCCAGTACTAGCAAACAATATTTAATACCATTTTGCATAGTAGGTGGGATTGAGCTGAGACTTAAGCTGTGATTGAGCTGTGGTCTACTATACTCAATTTGTATCTTAGCATGTGGTTCTTGAATTCTCAAATATTTTAGTGATATTTTTCTTTTTCCTCCAAGTGGGGTATTTACCATCGCAAAAGTTAAGCAATTGTGTGCCCATCTGTTTTAACGTTAGGCCAGCCAGCCATCCTCTACCATTCTTTTTTGCATCTGAGCTGACCCTAAATGATTTTGTTCACGCCCTTATTGAAATAAATCTGCCTTAAGTGTATATAATGTTCTCCATCTGCAAGTGTTTATCTGCCCATACCACACTGGTCATTTTTAGAAGGTATGACCCCCCTCTGTGCTTCACCCATCTCCTAGCTTCTAGGGGTGATCGCCCCTCAATTCCCTCATTTGCATCTTTTAAAGTGGCTACATCTTTGATAACTTACTTTGTACTATTTTCTTTGTTTTGTTTTCAGAATTGCTGTTTCTTCAAAGTTTATACCTATTGGGATGACCACAACCTTAGGAAGGGCATCTGCTTTACTACATACACCAACTTCTCTACGTCTATATTTTTCCTTTTGGTATGCTTTTTACGTGAGCTCCACATTTTTCTTCCTCTCCTTTTTTTTTTTTTTTTTTTTTTTTTTGGTTGTTTGGTTTGTTATTGTTTTGAAACTGTGGTCAGGCTGTGATTTAAACTGGCAGACTCCCAGATTAAAATCCTGTGTTTGTAGGTAATTTTTGTTCTAAATTGGTAGCCAAATAGTTAAAGCTGGATATACCCAGTCTGAAACTACGTACAAAGCTAGGTCATTTCCTTTAGATTTCTCTTTTAACATTGTTTGCAGAGCTCATTAGCTCCGCTGCTTCTGCAGAGCTACTCTGCAGAAGGAAGCCAACTCCTCTGTATTTTATGAGTTGCCGCATATCTTATAAAGGATTTTCCAAGTTTCCAATAAAAACCGGACCCATCCATGAACCATGCTGAATATTCTGTGGCACAAAGTCAGCAACAGAGCTTTTATCTGAAAGCACTTGACAGGTAAGCAACACATAAGGAGTAAAGGGCACTTTACATTCTTCCACTGGTTAATGGACCATATAGGGCTGGTGCTAAAACCTTGTTGTCTTCTACAGAAAGTTCTTAGTTTATGAAACTAAGTGTCTATCTAGCTAACCTCAGGTTTGATACATGTCTGGTTTGTACTTTTCCAGTGATTATGTGCTTTAGCAGAGCACCTGTGATAGGTACTACTGCAAAACAGCACCTAGAGATATATTCCGTAAGCTCATGTGCCTATGCCAGTGCTAAACTTGTCTTTTCATATGGAGTAAATTTCTTTCCCACTGATCTTAAGACTCTCAAAACAAAGGCTGTATCTTGCTTCTTATTGCTTTGTGTTCTTGAAATAGTAGGGTCCTGAGATCTAGATCAGTAGCGGTTAGCTGAATATGAAACAGCTTATAATAATGCATGTAGCCCACAGCCGGGCTCTGAACTGGTGTGGTTTTGCTCTGCTGTTCTTCCTTCTGTTCTCATTCGTGATATTTCTTCACTAGTTTGCAGAAATCAGTAAGCCACTAATCAAATGTAAGGATGTTCTCATGAGAACTTAACCAATTGTGAAACTCAGTCTACTACACTAATTACTGTGGGGGTGGGGACTCTCACGAGCAGTTCTACCCTTTGATGATACCACTGTTGTCCTCCTTTCCTGATCTAATACTATTCTTGAATATTTCACCTCAGATTGTACCAACTGAGTTTTGTGAGTTTTTGATTATTAACTTTAAAGCCTGGGTTTTGAATAATGTTGCCTGCCTCTTATGTAGTTTCCTCTACTTTCACTTCAGTTTTTCCATGTACCAACATATCCATCTATGATACGGTGTAACACATTTTAACGATAACTTCATCCACATTCGATATATTGATTTGAAAGTCTTGCAGTACTTGAATAAAACAATGTTGCTTTCCTTTCCAGGTACATGCTTATTTTTACCAGCTTTGATCAGCTAGTGGAATTGCAAAGAAAACATTGGCCAAGTCAGTAATGAAATGTCACTGAGATATTCTTCTTAGTGCTTTATTTAAGTATTTAAAATCCACCATTAGGCTTTTTTTTTTTTTTTTTTTTTTTTCTCCTCTGCTTTTAACACTGGGCTAAATGCAGAGTTAAAAATTTAGGTCTTTGCATTAGCACCTTGGTTTCCAGTAAGCTGTAGATGGTGGGCTGGAGCCCTTCCTCTGTTCCTTGTGGGTGTTGATATTTTTTTCATTGTGAAGAAGGATCTGGACCTTCAGTTAATACACAACTTCTATTTTTCCACATTTTAATTTACAGACATACAAAACTTGAGGAAATTCTGTTACCCAAATATCTACTGTTTTTACTTCCTCCGGATTCTTAATAACAAAGCATCAGTGACTTGCAGGAATCACTCCACCCTTACCTCCCACTGGTCAGCACCAATTCTAGAAACATCCGTAGCAAAATCTGTAGCTAACGCATTTTGTTTCAGCGAGGCAGTGCCAATAATTCCCTGCTGCTTACAAGAGGGATACTCCCATTCCTATCCTCAGAAAGAACTCTTGTACTCCTGAACTTGGCAGCTATTTCACTGCAGGCAGAAATCTCAGTTACAGGTGCTTGAACATCCTTTCATGCATATGAAACAACATTGATCATTTTTCCCCTTCTCTGAGTTGAAGCTGGAACTACTTTTATTATGAAAGTGTTTCTTACTGTGGTATCAATGAACATCATAACTATAGTGGTAGTTAGGGTTCTTTCCATGACCATCCAGCACTAATGTAGTAATTGGCCATTCCCATTGGCAATATTGCAATATCTGCAGGGCACGGGTAGACAGCAGACTGTCCCTAGTCTTTGTTGCTGAAAGGGGGAGAAGATGCAGTGAGAAGCATTCATCATGTTCTGTAGTTTTGTTCTTCCTCTTCATCTTTCTTCTTTAGTTTGGCAAAGCAAACCATCAAAGAATTTATGGATTCTATCCTGTTGTCTTGTATCTTTGCCTCTTTTTCTTCAATTTCACCTTGTTGCTCTCCTGCAGTCCCATTGGTGCTCCATAAGGGAAGTTTTTATTTTGTTCTGTTTTGCAGTTGCTCTTATGCATCTTTTTTTGTACAAAGAGAGCTAATTCCATAATGGCATCTGGTTTTGCTTTTCTGTTTCATTTGAACTTTACTTTTAAATGGAGGCTCTGTTTCCAAAGTACCATATTTCTGAAAATTACAGTATGTACAAACCTGCTTCAGGTCCACAGAACTGAGCTTTCCTTGCATTCCTTCTCTCCATCACCTTGCCCATTTGCCCATTGCCAAATTTGCAGCTCCTTCCATTATAGACTGATAGAATCATTAAGGTTGGGAAAGACTTCCAAGATCATCTGGTCCAATCATCCCCCTATCACCATTATTACCCAATAAACCATGTTCCTAAGTACCATCAATTCACAGGTCCTTGCATTATTCTTGCTGGCTTAACCTTTGTACGACTGCTACTTTAATGGTACTGTGATTCTGTTATCTCCAAGGATACTGTCCAAGGTAGATGTCCATATACCAATTCTAATATTTTTTCCAGAATGCTATAGGACTTTACAATGTTATAGTGTCATTCAAGGTGGAATAATATACTAGCCAAACCTTCTTTCAGTGCTCAGATACTCAGAATGTCTATTCTGAGACATTCACCTACTACATTTCTTGCAGGAGGTTCTTCCTGCCATGTAGCAGATGATCACATTCCACTCTGATGCAGCACTTTTTAGGGGTGTTCAGTATTTACTAGTCAAGACCGGCTAATCCTCAAGTTCCACAAGCCACATTACGCAAGTTTCTGAATTTAGTGCCCTCAGGGTTTAAACTATTACTCTTGTTTGTGCTGCAGTCAGGTAAATTGTTATTGTTATCTTATCCCAAGTTTTAGGAACAACACAACCAAGCAGGATTAGACAGTGTGGGAGTCTGTTTTTACTACTGGTTTTGTTCCAATTCTGCAGCTGGTTCACAGAAGCCTATTTTGCTTTCATAGTAACATGAATTTTCAGGAGGAAAGTTGGGGACTGAGTTTTCAATATATTCTTGCTATTAATGCTGGATAGAGAAATGTTAGCATATTCATTATGTATATTGCTCTGAATAATGGACAGCTGTATCCTGGCTGACTGTTATTGGAGTAAAAGGGCTCTCTGGGTGTGCAGAAATCCATCTGTACAGAATACCTTTCTGGACCTGTCTTCAGCTTAATAAAGGGCTCACTGCAAAACTGTAAAGCAAACCTAGGTATCAAGAACTGCGAGGACCTACTCTTAAAAGTCATTAGGCTAGTATTATGTACCCAGATCTAAAGAGAGACAAAAGTCTGACTACCTTTATCATCATCCAATTCAAAGTTGATTCACAAGAGAGGGTTTTTATAACGTTACTTGTTATTTCTACTCATATTTTCTTGGCACTGAAGATATATATACACATTTATTTTTTCTATTGTTCACCACCTTTTAGATATATATATATTCATAAATTATAAAATACAGACATTCATATAAATATATATTAAGAAGAAAGACAATTTTCCTCAGTGAAGAGTGTCATTGTTGCTTTCTTCTATCTCTTATCATTGTTTAACACATCTGTGACTCGTATTTTATGGCATGACAATCAAGTCCCTTATCTTTATCCATGTGATCCACTGGGAGGAGTGGATCACATTACAACCTTACTTAGTTTACCATTGGCAGGATGAAACACTGCTGTTAGTATCATGCTTGAACAAACGTGTTTTGATCACTGCCATAGTTGTGGCCCCTTTAAAGAAGATGGGATAGCTTTGACCCATTCCCAGGGTTAAAATGCTTATGGGGAACATTTTACTATGAAAACTTGGAATAGTCATCATTCTGCTTTCCTATCTTAAAGCTCCCGTGAACCAGAGGAAATTGACTGAGTGTGTACCAGAGGTCAGTGAAACAAGATGAACTCTGTAACACATTAAGTGTACTTGCCTAGTCTAAATCCCAGTGCATGAAAAGACCATTCAGGCAGTCATGATGCTATAGGCTTATTTTCATATTTAGGCCTTATAGAAGCTTGTATGTGTGTTAGAGGAAGCATGGCCAAAAGCACGACAGACACCAGTAGAGTCAGATCATGCTCCATTTTATTGCCCGAATAGCCTAACTTTTATAGTGAACTTAACAAGGGCGGACAGTGTTTCACACACAATTATTGGTCAAAAGCACTCAGACAAACAACTACAAGAAAACAACCCCACCTGCAAGAAAACAACCCCCTTGTGATTAGTGGTCACGTAGACCTTGTCCTTGAAGCCAGCTACTGGTAACAATATTTTTCTGAATTCCTCAATTGGGCGACGTGGGAACACTGTCGTGGGAACTTCTCATAGTTGCCCTGGTAGCTTGGTTTGCTCAGCTACGGCAGGCCATGGGATTTGCTAAGGCCTACTCCTGGTTGCTTAAAGCAAGCTTAGATCGAACAATTGTTCCACGGACTCATGTCCACGCCCTTTGTGCCAATTCCCAACATATGTGTACTTTCTCTGAGACCTTAAACAGTTCATTCTACCTGAAACATGAAAATAGGTGGTAATTCTGTCCTGTGAAGTGACCCACCACAACAGTGTTCAGAAAGAGTTAGTCACATGTGTATTTGCACCAAGGTGAAGTACCACAGTAACCATTCCGAAATATATATATTTTTTTACTTGTAAACATATGGTTTCACACATGTTAGATTTGGACAACTCAGTTGGTGTGTCAGAAATTCTCCCCGGTCCTGTCACACACAAGAGTAGGCAGATTTGCCAACATGTTGGCAAGGTGTTTCACAAATGACCCAGGCAGATGTGTTCTCTTCCACTGTGCACTCAGCACTGTGGACTCAGTGGTGGCTATAGGACCAGGCCCTGTCCTAGACACACCTACTTTTATCTGCCAGCACATTGGACTTCTTCATGAACTGCTCACCAGCTGTGAGTGATGCCTGCAGAAATCATCTATCATCTCTTGGGGCTGGAATAACCTAGCAATAAAACTATTCCTGGGCACCATGCAGAATGCTGTAATGTCTACTGCAAATGCCATGTAACATGGAATCACTACAAGATTATTTTCTCCAGTGGTTAGACAAAAGGCTTTGTTTGCATGCTACTGAATGCCAAGATACTTACTAAATGTAAAGTAGTTTAAAACATTCACTTTCTAAATTCTTTAAGGTTAATACAGTTCTGTTTCATAGTATTGACAATACAAGGTCCCTCAGAGGTTTCTCCCTCTGAGGAATCTGTACAGCATTCAGTAATACCTTGCCCACAGGTGGAACCCATGAATCCTGAGGATCATGGGCCTTAGGATGCCTGATTTCTACTGGAACAACATTCCTAGTGTGCCAGGCACAGACAGACTGAAGGCGAGGAATAGAGGCCTCCTCTTACCATAGCTGATATCTCAGTTTGGCAAAGGTCCTCAAATGAGCTGAGAGTTGCTGCCCGAAGCATTGCTGGGTACTGAACAAATCATTTGCTTTCCATGAATGGTGGTAATAGCAAGCAGGGCTGCTCTGAACATCTTTTTTTTAGTCAGGAAGAGCTGTTAATCATTCATTATTTGTGTCTGGCTATAAAAGGAAATCAAGGAATTACTTCTAATGTCATGACCTTCACCCAGTGTCATGTCACCGTGTGCAAGTAGAATATAAACTAGGCAGAGAGCGGGTGAGTCAGGGTTGAGGCAGAGAGCAGGAAGTGTACAGAGCAAAGGGTGAGGTAATGGGACACGAGCAGGGATGGCTACATTCCTTCAAGTGCCTCTGATGGTGCCGAAACACCATCCTAAGCCTCGAGGCTTCTGTGAACACCAACTGTTTGTGGAGCCATCCCCCAGTCCTTCTGGCTCTGCCCTGGGGTCTCCATCTCCCGTTCTGTCTAGGAAGTAGACCAGAAATCATCTTATGATTTCACAGTTCTCACAGGGAAGGGGAAGCCCTGGGGAAGACCCCCAAGACTTACTGATTAGTTAAATACTTCATATCTGTTCTTTACTTTGAATTGTTTCTTTCTGCTGTTTACTGGGCATCTTGCCACTATTTCTCTGTGAATTTGGCCATACTTATCACTTTTGCTAATTTTATTGAACATGTTGTGGTTTAATATGATATGTTGCTTTTATACAAAATATAAAAAATTATTACTTATTTCATTACTTTGAGATAAGTAATAAATGATTAAGAAAAAAAAGTAATGATTTGTAGGGCAGAAGTCTAATAAAGTATCAGTGAGAAATACATGGGAAATGGAACTTTTGATATGGATAATATTTAGGAGTAGAGCAATAAACCATGTTGGAATCAGAATGCCTTGTACAGACTGAATTTGCGATGTGCCAGCTTGTCAGAACTGGAGTGAAATTCAACTGGAAAAAAATAAAATAAAATAAAATAAAATAAAATAAAATAAAATAAAATAAAATAAAATAAAATAAAAAACACAAACCAAACCAACCAACCAACCAACCAAAAAAAAAAAAAAAATCAAAACCATTAAAATGGCATTTTTAATAGGTAAGAAAATAGTTTAGGAAATGTTTAGATAAAATAATAAAGTTAATATTGTATAGGTATTAATGAAATTACATTAACCTCTATATGTAATACCCTAAGGTGGTTGCTTAATAAACACCTGAAGTGGTTGCTGTGAAGACAAGACAGTAAATAAATGATTTTTAGGAGTTTTTCTAGGACTGCCATTCATTTTATTTTTTTATCTAAGAGAGGTGTGAATTAATATTTACTGTCTTAGGGAGACAACTTTTCTGTCATCTAAAACATATGAAACATATAGGATAAACCAGATCAGCTATCACAAACTGACATCTAGATGCTATGCAGCTGCCCTCTCTGTGTGATGTTTGGCCAATAATGAGGAAACCTGAATAGTGCTCACAAATGACTTGAAGAACTATGGCCTACGAAAGAGATGATCTGTCTGTAGTATGGGAATAGATTTATCATAATTCAAGCAGAGTAGAAACCAGAGTAAGTTATGAGTCTTGGGCATTTTTGTGTCTCTGTGAAGAAAACATTTTTCAGTATCAAAGATGAGCCACACTCCATAATGTGTATTTCTTTATGCATAAGAAATACTATCTCTTATATAGTATTGTATAGGAAATAGAAGCAGAAAATGAAAAAGATACCTGGTAAACAACCAGTCTGCAGGGAGTCTAGCAGTTGTAGTGAGTAAAATCAGATAAATGTATCTTCTTTAGGATCAATGTCAATGTGCTTGCTTCTTCCTGACCCTCTTTTTCCATTCTCTCTGCCACCAGTATCAGCTGTTGACAGATCCTGGACTAAAGACGGCTTAAAGCTACAAGCAAACCAGGAGCTTATGCCTGAGAGGAGGAAAGATAAGGAGTTCCAATTAGCCATCTGATAGGACTTTAGGAAATAAATTCATGGCAATTAAGATTAATGAACCCTCATGGAATGAGGAAAATGGGAAGCTGAGATAAGATGCGGATAAATTAACTGGACAGTGAAGTATCTAGTTTGGTTCAATAGAATGACTATGGATAATTGCCTCCTCAGTAATTGTAGCCCAAATGTGTCTGGTCACAGTATACAGAAATCTTATATTATATAAGAAACACCTTATATTCTTATATGTTCTATACAAAAATAAATTATATTCTTATATATTCTATACATTATATTATTCTTATATTATATACAGAAATATCATATACTTAAATATGATGAAGACCTGATGAGTTCATTCCTCAGTGTTAATAATTTAGCACCATAATGGTTAATAATTTAGCACTATTTACTGCAAAGTGATCACATGCAGGCACATCTTGATATCATAATTGGCATCTTCCTGAAGAATCTACCCAAATCATTGTCAGAGTTGTGTGACAGTCATGGCATGCAAAGGGTAAAAAACTGTGGCAGTATGACTCTGAAAGCAGTAGTAGTTGGTAACAGGAAGCATTAACCCTACTGTCTGTGGGTACAACTTTTTAAAAGATTTGGAGATTGTGAACCAGTGTGTATATGGTATAACTGAATGCAATTACTTATAAGACCACATTTTTCTTACAGTATAAGTTCATTTGCTTCACTGTCGTAGTGCCTTAATTCATCCCTCACAAGACTAACTGAAAGAAGCAATTATTTTTCATCATTTCACTACGGTAACATAATTCAATGTGCAAGGTTAAGTAAAATAAGTAACTACTTTGTAGCACAAAGTCAAATTAGTTGTAGAAATTAAAAATATTTCCCTATGTTTGAAATAAAGATTTTTCTGTTTATAACTTTGATTCCTGGAGAAATGAAGAAAGAAACTGTGATGAAAGTTTGTAGGAATACCCATGAAAAACAGCAACAACAACAACAAAAACACACCTTTTTGGTGTGAATACAAGCCTGAGCCATTGCTCCTAATGCAAAGAAAGCCTCCTCATAATTTTGATAGGTGTTTAATGAAAACTTGCAAGAAATAGGGAAGTCTCCCAATCAGGGCACCTTTCCTCAAAAAAAAAGAGTTTGAGTCCAGAGGACAGCAATGTCAAAAACAATAAAACAAACTATCAAGAAATATAGGGAGAGGATATATCAAGAGATATAGGAAGAGTTATAGGAAATGGATTTTTTTTTTTGTTTGTTGTCTAGAGTGGACAGACAACACTTATGAAAGAAGTATTAAAATTTTAAAGGTACTATGAAGCAGAATGAACTAAATTATTCTTCATATTTGCTGTGGTTAGGAAAAGGGTGACAAGTCTAACATATATCAATAGAAATTTAGGTTAGACATCACAAAAACTTTCTAACTCTTCAGATGTTGGATGTTTTTGAAAAGTCTCCATGCTTGTTTTTAGAAACTACCAATAGAGTGACAGAATCGAAGTGTCTGTCAAGAATGACAGTTGGAATAGTTGATCTGATCTGGAGGAAGGAGAATGGAAAGGATGCCATTCTGAGGTCTCTTTTGCTCCTCATTTTTGTGATTTATAAGGTGCATGATGAACTGTAATTATAGAACAGATGAGTAAATAAAACTTTGGAATTCTGTGCTCACAGGGAGAAACTGAACAACCGGGTTAGCTGCTATGTTATTGTCATAATTTCCTGTGCAAATTCAAACATTTCACAAATTGTATGGAACAGAATGCAATATTTATTAAATGCAGTTTTAGGTAGTATTGTAGAAGGGAGTAAGTCAATATGAATAGCTTTGGGCTGTGTATAGGACATAATATTAGTACTATTATATACTTTATATGTAATGACTTGATTTTGTAACCTCCTGTTTCTCTTCCACAGGTGTTCAGCTACCTGTGATCCAAGGCACAGCTGCATAACCATCTCTTAGACGTCTGAGGAAACTGCAGATAGAGCTGCAAAAAAAGATAACAGGGTGGAATTCTTCAAGATAAGAAAGACAAAATCACAGATAAAGGTAAGATTTTTGAGATGGAGATAGGCAGTAATTCAAGGATTCAAGAGGGAAAACATCATCACAAAAAGGAATAAAATCTGAAGCAAAAAGCTTCAGGATCTGTTCTGGGGCAGTGGGAACCAGCCCATTTCACCAAGCACTTCTTGGCCAGCAAAGATGTTTTCTGTTTCTTATTCAGGACATTGATAATATTAACACTTGGTTTAGTAGTTCATTAATCTGAGTTGTCTTTTGTATGTAGTAACAAATCAATAACTGCTATACACTTTTACATTGTGTGTATTCAGCCCTTTGTGCATTGGAGAAGACATCCAATCAAAGTGGTTCAGTGAGGGAGAGATAAAAGTTCAGTTAAAGTCCTTGATTGATAGTACTGTTAGAATGTTACCAGGTGTATCTATTTAATTCAACTTCAACAGGGAAAAAATGTTTTCCACCTGCACAAAAAGTCCCTTTTATTATTGTTTTTCCATCATTTTTCATATAGCATATTAAAAATGGTAACTGCTGAAGCAAAGTCCTAAACACTCTTAAATGCCTACATTAACATTCTGTACTAGTTGTCATTTCTTTGACTTACACATCTCATTTTTCCAGATTCAAAAGTCGTTTGTTTTTCCAGATGTGCTGAGGGTGAAAAAATACCTCTTCTCGTGTTCTATGAAGATGTAACTTTTTAATCCTGTTTTAAATACTCTATGAAATCTTACTGAAACTTAGACTAATATAAATATAACTTCAATTAAATATACTTTTCTCATGTTACAAAAGTAGGAAGACTCCCATTTTAAATGAGACTATACTGCAAACAATTATTATGAAAAATATTATCTCCTAACACACTAATGTATCATCAAGTCATATTTAATAACTTCAGTGAGAAATAAGCACCAAGAAAGTTGTTTTCCGTATGTAGGAAATCTCTCTCAAAGGAATTTGCAGACTTATGTAAGTTTTCTGTTGTTGATTTGAAGCCAAATGGAGTTCAAATAGTATTTGAAGCCAAATAGAATTGAAGTTTTCAGAAGCCAGACTGAGTTTGTAAAGCGGAAAACTGGCACATTACTAATAGGAAGTTCATGGCATTACTTTAGTTCATGGCAGCTCCTCTTACTAGATAAACCAGACAATAAAAGTGGAGCTTTGTAATAACATTAAAACATACTTTTCAGAGCATTTAAACAACAACAACAACAACAACAACAAATAGAAGACTGATTCTTACAGTAATTTAATGTGGCCTCATGGTTAGTCCAGGACAAATAAGATGCCAAGCTATTGCTATAGGAAGTGTCTTGTGGTTGAGTATGTGAAACATTTCAGGGAGCACAAAATTGTCATTTCCCAACTGTGTGATAATTGTCTTCATACAGAACAAAGCTGGTTGATAGAACAAGGGCCAAGTTGGCAAAATTCCTCTACAGTTCCTGTACAAAGTAGTAGTCTTCTCCAGCACTGATTAACAGGAGAAAGGCTACTAAAACGGAACACGAATTTCCTGAGTACAATAAATCAGAGCTTGTTCACAGTTTTTCTAACTTATTCCAGGGTTGAATATCCTAGAATCATTACAGAATTCCTGGGGCCCTCTCCAGCATTTCACCTACCTGGAGCTTAATAGAAAATCGAACTCTCCATTTTTAAGGGAAATAAAAGAAAAAGTAATGCGTGTCCTTTCTCTGATTATAATGCATAAATACTTTGAATTACTTGTTTCAGATTATTTTCTTGTTTACTATTTTTATTGAAAACCATTAAAAAGTTAGTTTTTATTGATATTGTTAAAAAGTCTTTGAAGGTGTCATGTCATCTTGTCACAATGCTTTGACTCGCATGTCAAATTCAGATTAAAGTTTCTGTGTCATTTACTCCAATATCATATGTTAATTGGTCATTCCATTTGCTGGCCATCATCAGATAAAAACAAAAACAAACAACAACAAAAAGCATGGTACTGATGTATGATCCGTGAGATGAGATTCTCTCAAAACAAGTTATTTTCTGGAAGCATGAGTAGTTGAAACTTCAGCAAAGAACAAGAGATCCCCTATTTTCAAATATATATTTTTTGCTGTTCCAGAAGAATATTGATGATCACTTTATTCATAAAATATTAGACATTTTAATATACAGAAAGGGCTTAGATAAGTAAATTTAGGTAACTATATTCATGGAAATAATCTGGAATAACTAATAGTGAATTACAATACAGAATGATCTGTGTTCCCCAACTAACTGTGGTCCAAAAATTGTTATAATAATGTGAAAGACAACTTAAACACTTTTGTGAAGAACAGGGGCCCTACTTTCAAGACTTGTGAATGGCCTGGGAAAACAACGACTTAGAGAAAGATTTAAGGCTTATTATAGTTTATTGTTACAGTACGATCTGTCATTGCAGTGGTGTGACTAGGAGAGATGATTCAAACCCCACATTTTTATCAAGAAGGAGGAGGGAATTAATTATGCCTCAGGCTTCTGTGTTATGGCCTCCCCAGAATATTTCAATGGACCTGATGGTCATCTTTCAAAAAAAACAAAAGTTCTTATGCTCAAATTTCTAAAGAAAGATTTGTGAAAATAATCAGGGAGTTGTAAAACTATGTCAGGTAAATGGAAATTGGTTACTGCCTTAATAAAGAGAGGATTGAGTAAACCTTTTCAATATATGTTTTTATTGATATATATATATATATATTATATATGTATATTTTTATTGATTTTTATATTTTTTTTCTGAAGTAATCCTCACTCTGATAAGACTTTTTGTATTCCAAAACATTATAAAAGTACTCAGTTTATTTAAAATTTTGAGGTTACAGTTATAAATGACTAAAAGGAACAAAAATTATGTTAGCACATTAAGTAAGTTTTGTTCAAGCAGAGTGATATGAAATCTACAGAGAAGTTCTTATAAATTTACTTGTTTTCTAGGACAGGGATTTTATTTGACTTTTCATAATTTTCACACATACATGAACATGTATTGAACATGTCTATTTTGCTATATACATCAAAATAATAGTAGTTAAGTAGTGCAATTAATATATTTTAAAAGATTTAAATTTCTTTTAAATGTTTGTTATCATTTTCAGTGAAGTAGTGCCTGCAGACACCAGTAAACACCTCACTGATAAACATTTCCTGGTACTATAAATGGTCCATTTCATGGACATGCATTAAAAATCAGAAGGATATTACCTACATGTAAGCAAATTTCTGCTGACCATAGTTATTTCAAAGCCACTTTTAAACTGAGTCTTGTTTAACAAGTCTCTTGCTGTTCTGCAATTAAACAAGAAAGGATGCACACTATCCTAAGTCACTAACAAGCCATCATGAGATAACAAGACATGTCAAGAGTCACTTCAGGGTGTATCCTACTGACTTGTCGACATACCTGAAGGGAGAGAATGCAAAAAAGAGAGAGACAGGCTCTTTTCAGGGATGCCCAGTGCTAGGACAGGAGTCAGTGGACACAAACTGAAACACAGGAAGTTCTCTCTCAACACCACGAAGTACTTTACTGTGCAGGTGATTGAGCCACAGGTTGTCCAGTGGTTCTGGGGTCTCTGTCTCCAGAGATCTCCACAGCTACCTGGACATGGTCCTGGACAGCCTGTTCCAGGTGTCCCTGCTTGAGCAGTGGGTTGGACCAGATGGCTTCAAGAGGTCCCTTCCCACCTCAAACACTGGGATTCTGTGACTATGGTAAACTCATGTTTTTCTTGCAGGATAAATGGGTTGTTATTTTCTGAATTAGAAGAAGTGGAAAGAAACAAAAGACTATTTTGTAATACTTGGTTTCATTCTCAGTAGGTGCTCGAGAATGGATTTGTCCTTAAGCGTTACTGTTACCTGGAACATTCAGCACTGTCTCTGAAAAGGTAAGGAGGGATTCCAGGGAGGATTAAAGGGGCATAATTAGGCAAATAACTTTTCCTGGTGGATAAAAATTACTATTCAGATCTATTTTCACAGATGAAAAGGAAACAACCATTTATTTAAACCTTTTATTTGTTAAATATTCCCTATAGGGAAGGGAAGCAGAGTCCAAAGTGCGTACACTTTACACCCCAGAGTAGGTGAGGCAATGAGAGTCAGAAAAAAAAAAAAAAGGATAGAGAGAGAGAGAGAGAAAGTTGTTCATCATCCCTGTTTTACATAAGAAGAGCAAAGTCCAATCATGTTGCATGTCCTAACCATATTAATACAGCTGATTTCTGAATAATCTTTCAGAGAACTAGAAGCAAACTGAGAACAACCTGCACGGTAAGTCAATGCTTTTATTTTTAAATCGGGGGTATTTTATAAAATTCACAAATAACTAAAATTGGAAAATTCTAAATAAGAAGGCCTGTGGCTATCAAACAGGTAGAAACACAAAATGTAGACAAGCAAACACAAAATATTTGGGTTTGTTTCAACAACTTTATACTTGCCTTTTGCTATGATTCACTTACAAAGAGTGACGTTAATAACTTTATTGTTTTTAATATGTATATTTTTTCTGTCAAACAAGCAGTCATTGAGATTATTGTCCTTGACATAATAGTTGTATATTTCTCAGTCAAGTATTATTTTACAGAGAACTACCCTAAATAAATTTAAAATGCATTCTGAAGATGAAAGGAAGCAGAAGAGTACTGAAGATGGAAATAGTCATGAGAACACTACATCCAGCCAGGGTCAAGAACAAGAAGGCAAACAGTAAATATTCTTAGACATTGTAAATTTGTTCTTTATTGAAGCATATAAGATTACATTATCTTATTTTGTATTTTATTGAATTTCATATTTTAATTTACTTTATTTTAGTGGGAAAGCCTAGTAAAAGAAAGCTTTTTATCAGATTATGATTCATTGGCACATTTATTTTGTACAGAAGGATGGAGAAAGTTCTTTTTCTATTAAAGATTAAGTGTCCACAGGATTTACTACATTTTATTGAAAAGGAAATTCAGAATATGGTATAAATTATATCAGAATAGACATGGATACAATGAGGTCATCAGCTAAAATTTATAGTAAAATTATTTGTATGGCAGGGAATCAATATTTTAAGTACCTTGAATATTTTATTAATTTTCCATCCCCATGTGAGAAAATCTGATTCTATAAACTATCTTCCTCTTTTTTGTTTTGAAAGCTACATAGTGCTTCAATTCACAACTTGAGATAGTGGAACCACTGGTCCCTGATGGGGTTGTTGTATCCTTGACATGAGAGACCTGTGAAGAGCTTGATTTAAATTTATAGCAGTTGGGAGCTGATGCTATTTATCAGGTGCTATTTAGAGGTTTAAATACAAAAATCCCAATAATGCCTAATAAATCATACTCATTTTACACACAATTCTTTCCCATAAATTGATTTCATATTTTTTTTAACTGAACTTCATTAACAATGCACTGTTATTTTTTGAAATATTGTCAATTTCTAAATGTACTAAAACTATCATATCTGTTAAGGAAGGGAAAGAAGAAGAAAGAGGAAAAGCCTAAAATGGTCAGCCCATTTACACTGGTAAGATTCAAACTATATATATGTGTACATATATTTACATGCATGCAAAAAAGTGTCACATTTCAAAGTGTCACATTTTAAATGCTTAAAATAATGATAGAGAACTGCATATATTTTCTGATCTCTACCAAATACATGGGTAGTACAGAATATTGGATATGTTTTTGCAACCTAGCAGATTTTTTTGTGAATGTATTTTTTTTTTTAAGAAACAGTTTTATTATTGATATGGATTTTTAGAAGCCTTCCCTTAGTAAGTTATCATGCTAAGTACACCTATGTTAGATTAATTTTTGTGATAAATCAGGATTTCTATGTGCTTAGTTGCTTTTTTCAACACAATGAAAAGGGCATAATTATACCTGAGATTACTAGTGTCATCCTGTCCTCTAAATTACCTGAGTCAGGTTCTAATCACACTTATCAGTCCATTACTCGTTTTTCAGTCACCTGTGTCAGCAGTAAAGGGTAATACCATGGAATTAAAAACCAAAAAGCACTTTAAATTACAGATTTTTTTAATTTTCTGTATATTTTAAAATAATCTGTTAATATTTAATCAAATTAAATCCTAGATTTTCTTTAGTAAATCTGAAATATTGTATGTTTTGTAGGTTTAGTGTGCATAATGCACAGCAATGATATGGGAATTAATAGTAATAAAACTACAGTGCAAGGTGGTGGCCAATGACCTGATTCTTCTGTTTTGCTATACTAGCTTGTACTTGTACAATTGCATTGCAAAAACACTGTAATTTACAACAGTAAAACTTGTATTTACAGCGCAGAATCTATCCAATGGCTTTCTAAGAGAAGAGCATAAACTTTATTGAGTTAAATGGCAAGAGATATTTAGGATTTCAGTAAGTTTTGATAATGTCTGAAGTACATTAGGAATAATTCTTCTAACTGTATAATAATGAATTTGCAGTAAAATTAATTATTGCCTTAATTATCACAATGGTATTAAAATTTCATATAATTTGAACTTTAAAGTTCAAAATTCAAGAAGGCAAATTGTCTTGTTTTCATATGACCTTTCTTACCCATATGCAGATACTGATAAATTTAAATGCTACTGTTCTCTAGTTTGGAGAGTTTACAGTATAAAAGTGTTTATATTAGAATAATGTATTTCTCTACATTTAAGTCGTTTAATAAATCTAATTGCAAATTAGACAAAGTTATAGATTTATGACAACCAGGTATAAAATTGATAGCTTTTTCTTGGCTTTGTAAACATAACATTCTAGTACCACAATGAACTTGAATTTCTCTTCTCATTCACAGTTTCGATACTCCAGTTGCACAGATAAATTGCTAATGATAGTTGGCACTCTAATGGCAATGGCCCATGGAACCAGTCTTCCTATTGCGATGGCAATTTTTGGTGATATGACTGATAGCTTTGTTAATTTTGGAAACACAAGTTCTATAGGTAAGAATATGGAGAGACCGATGTTTTATATTTAGAAGACAGCCAGAGAGATTTGAGCATCTTGACTTGAGACATTGGTGTCATCAAACCCAACTTGCTAACATACTGTGGTGTAAATTAGTAACTGTTGTTTATACTGTAATAGAGATATATTCTGGTTTTTTTCTCCTTGTTCTTAGTTTCTCCCTTAGTAGATTCTTTTTTCAAATAATCTATTAAAATATACATTTAACAAATAATGTTTAACTGTGGCTATGATAAAGAGAAAGAAGCTGGCTTTCAGTTTCTGCTCCTCTCAGTATGAGCTCCTGTTGCTTCCCTTGCTCACAATGGGATTAAGGTCAATTATAGCTCACAAGGTGAATCAGATCAGTAAGTAGATCCACCAGAAAACTTGCTACTAAAAATAAAAGTACTAATTTTCTCATGGCTCAATTTGTTGAGTCCCCTCATTTGCTAAATTAGAAGTAAAAAATCAAACACAGACTGGCAGGCAAACACTGCAGATATAAGAGGGAGAATTGACACTTACACCGGATTAGGTTGTCCTTTGAAACCAAACATTAGATGTTAAACTTGTGAATAGACTCGTTGCCTGGAATATTATGTAAAAAGTTATCAACCATTTAAATAAATGTCCATGGTGATACAGAAAGGTAATGCATGTGACTATCTTCTGTCCTGCATCCATTTTTACTCTTATTATTCTGCAAGACAGAGACATGGACATACTGTCCTTATCAGAACAAGTAATTTGTGATCTACTGCTTTCCAAGTACAATAAATTGATCAGATTTTTGGAATTGCAAAATGCTGCAGCTATAGTCTCAAAACATTTGTCATTAACTTCTGGTGTGGGGGAGTAAAATTTTAGTGCCAGCACCTACTTTATAGACAATGTTTTCATAAAGAATTAAGCTATCCACAATTACCAGTGTGAGGTGAATATCTAGACTTGCATTTTTAATTGTTTTTGGTATTATAGAAATGCACTCTGTTTTCAGAAAGAAAGAAAAAACAAACACAAACCAAGCATGTAATGAATGTTCAAGAAGATCTTTTAAGCTCAAGTTATACTGATGCAGCCTTGTAGGCAACGGAGTCAGGACTAACCTTCTATTAGTATAATCATTGTTTTTGAATACGTAGAAGCCTGAACTAATTGCACACCTCCTCTCATTCAAATCTATGAGAATCAAAAGGAGATATACCAACTCAAAATTTAGTGAACAGCATGCAGGAAAATAAATTTGTTAAAACTTGCTCTATTAAAAGTATTTACTCTTTTTAAGGAAACAGTTCTGATGTGACTCCCCCTCCAGAAATTTTTGGCGATCTGGAAGAAGCAATGACAAGGTAATTAGAAATTGATATTTCTTTTTTTGGTTGTTTTAAGTGTAGGCACAAATTTGCTGTCAAGCCATTCTTCTCCCATAGATATTTTGCATACTTTAAACAACATAAAAGCAATGGTTACTTGAATAATGTATGTAAATAAAGATTTGTATTTGAGATTATTGAATTCACTGGGAAGATTCTTGAACATTCCCAGTCATTCCCAACAACTTCCCTGTAATCTTTTACTCTCATCCATTCCACCCCCTTTACAGGGGTGCTCTGTGTCTCAGTGTCATCAGCATTTTCTTCCTTCCTCTTTTCCTTCCTCTGAATTTATAAACAGTACATGTTATGCAGAAAAATTATATTGATTATCATCCATCAATTTGTTGAGCTATGTTCATTCACTGATAAAAAGCAGAATTAAAATTGTCAGATAGTTATTAGTTTCCTGCCAAAGCATCAAGTTCAGTTTAAATACCTGGCCTACACAAAAATACAGTTAGATTAAATGCAATTTTAAATCTAGCATTTGAGAGCTGTCATTAGTGATTCTGTTACATAAGAGTGTAATATTGCAGATGCATAGACAAAAAGGAACATCAGCTATCAATAGATGTGTTTTGTTAGGGGGCTTCACTGGCTGCTATTCATGGATTAGGTTTATGCAGGTTGTCTAAAATTTATGTGCATTTTCTTGTACTACTTCAACTTTTTCTTCAGATTGAAGTTTGTTCCTCATTAGGTATTGAAAAACACCTGAGATCACAGGATTAGCAATATGGTCTTCAAGGCAATAGTAATGGAAAAAAAAAACACTAATCTCTGACCTCAAGTCATGTCATATCAAAACGAATAGAAACCTTCCTATCATCCTCAGCATGCTGTTGTCTAGGATTCACAATGGAACAAAAGAACAAAAAGTACAGCAAAACAGAAAAGCTAACCAAAAGAAAGTGTAATTGTGAATATTATCTAAATGTTGAAAACTGCCTGTTCTCATGGCCCTAAGAGATGTGAGGGAGATCTGTTCTTAGCATCCTGCATGTCACCTTGTCTTATAGACATTAAGTCTGAGAGCAAGATGTAGAGTGCTTACAGAGCAGCCTGAACTTCTCTTCGGAAGTGAATTGTAGAATAAGGGATGTATTAACAGTACAAGAATAGGTTTTCTTTTATCAAGTTTCTAAACTTTCTGGATAGAGCCTTAATTTAGTGTGTTCCCAGTTCGAAGAAGCTGTTCGGGCCCACTCCCTGTTTCTCTGAGAATGCCTGCCAGCGGGTAAAGTAATAATAAAAACTGTTCATACAAAGATCTTACTCAGTTGTATTCAACTATGTGTAGTCTTGGTTATGTTTGTTACTCAGATAAGAGTTTGCTAGAATCCACTTCTCAATAGAAAAAGAACAGTTAATTTACAGTGCAGTGAGCATTTATTCTCTGTTAAGTTTCAGCAGTGAAGTTACAGAATGTATTTCATTAGCATGGCATGTTGTAAAGATATCAGTTCCCTCTCTTACAATTTGTCATGAAACAAAGTCCACACGTAAAACCATTTTTTGAAGTGACATAACACCATAAAGTAATTGTCTAAGGTACTTACTACAGAGTTTTGAAGCAGTGTCCTTGTTTTTAGTTTGGTAGTTCATGTGTAGGTTTTAAATGGATCTGAATATAATCAAGGTCGATATTCAACTAACCAATCTTCAGTTAGACATTAACCCATTTTATTAATCAGTTTAGATACAGTTCATTTCATAATGATCACAGTTCCAAAGTCCATGCCTAAACTGTACAATATATCAGTCACTGAAAATGTTAGATTAAAATATGAAAAGTTTCATCTATAAAGCCCTTTTCTCCTTTCTTGAGCAGAATTCTGCAGCTTAGATCACAGATTTCTGTAGCTTACTCCTGCCAAATTTCATGCTTCTAAAGAATTGGTATGACTTAACTTCCTTCTTGTGAGTGAAGCTCCTAAGGGTTTTAAAGCTTTTTTTTTTTTTTTTTTTAATTATTATTATTATTTTTATTGTTATCCTGTTTTCATTTGGGTTTAATTTCACCATTAACTGGTTCTGATACCAGTTCTGACTGAAATCAGATCTGATTTGATTCTGTTTGAACGGTTTAAAACTGTGGCTTAAAATCAGTTTCAGCTTGAGAAATACAGTGGTTCATACACTTCTTGATTTTCACATGACACCCTGCTTATGACACAGAGATGAATTTAATTAGAAATAAAATATCAGTTATGAGAATAATAAGGAGCAAAATAATTTTTGATCTAGTGGCATTTAATTGAAATAGATGTATAAATAGTCACATTGTATTCCCCAACTGGGAAGTATTTATAACATGCATGCATATATGTATATTTATGTAGACAAGCATGTTGTATTATATGTCTGTGAATATGACATACAGATATATATGATTATGCCTCAATGTGTTAAAACACAAATGCTATGATGTTTTTGGAAATTGCATGACTTGTTTAAGCAAAAAGGATATTGTATCTCAAATATGGTTCTAAAATAAACTTCTAAGAAAACAGATACACTGACAAGAAGAAAAAGTAATTTCTGTCTAACAAGAGCATCATTTATTATTATGTTTCTGTAAAGTTATAATAACATATTAAATAATAATAATATATTAACATAATATTATATTATATATTAAAGTAATAATAATATATTATTAATATAATAATATATTAAATAGTACTCAGAAAAAAACTTGGGAAATTTTACATGGAAGTGAAAACTACAATAGAAACATATAAACTCTAATTCAAGTCTGAAAGAAAAGCGGGCATACAGTTAAATACAGACTAGCAAGGTAGTTTTTATTTTTATTTTTTTCTTGCAGCTATGCATATGACTATTCTGCACTAGCAGCTGGTGTTCTTGTTGCTGCTTATCTCCAAACTTCATTTTGGACCCTAGCAGCAGGCCGACAAATAAAAAAAATTAGAGAAAAATTTTTTCATGCAATTATGAGACAGGAAATTGGATGGTTTGATGTAAATGATGTGGGAGAGCTGAACACTCGTCTCACTGAGTAAGTGCACTATACCTTCTGCAATGTTATTTTATCTCATTAAATATGTACAGATTGCAATATTTTTTATTTTTAAATTTCATTTACTTCATTGTGAATCTCATGCAAGTTATCTCATGGAAAGAAACTGAATTTATGATAATTCTGATGCTGCACTGTCATAAGGTTATCAGAGAAGCATTGAGATAAGTTCCCTTGTGAACTCCGAGGATGACTAAAGCCTAACAGTATGAGATTACCCTGATGAAAAGAAGACACGGTTCAGTTCTGTGCACACTGGGAGCTGAGCACAGTGATGACTGACCACAGCAGTGGTCATTCAACATCTTGAACTGCTTGACAAGCTATTTCTTTCTCCTTGTTTACATGAAAAGATTTAGCTGTTCCTCCCAAATATTTGTTCCTCCCAAATATCGAAAATTTGGAATTGTGATAAAGTGAGAGAACCTTTGCAGTGCAAAGAATTTCAAAATTTTCAGAAGCCAACAGATATATAGCATTACATTTTCACAAGAAATATGAAAATTTCTGTGACCATATTATATACTGCTCTATCTTTAGAGAAACTATTGCAAGACTATCTACACAGACTATTGCAGACTAATGAAGACTATCTACACAGATGCCCATGTAACAAAACTGAAAAGCTTTCTGTGCTTCCTACATTTACCTTCCTGTCTGGATGTAATTTGTTTTTCAGTGATGTCTCCAAGATTAACGAAGGAATAGGTGATAAAATTGGATTGCTTGTCCAATCACTAACAACATTTGTGACAGGATTTATTGTTGGCCTCGTAAGAGGATGGAAATTAACCCTTGTAATACTTGCAGTCAGTCCTGTCCTAGGACTTTCAGCAGCCCTCTGGGCAAAGGTAGGCTGCTATGCATTCAATGTCAGGTTTTATATAAATGAAAAATAATGAAATGAAATGAATCTAGAAACCTGCAATTCTTACAGTTGGAATGTATTGCTTAGGAAATTATGATGGCTTTAGAGAACATCTACGTACATAAGCTGTGAGGTGCACTGTATATAAATGCCCTCAAGTAGTTTCAATTTTATAATTCCAGTGGATTGGGCAGACTTGCTTTAATTTGAAGCTGTTTATGTCAATATAGCATATTTAATGTGGAAAAGGAAACAGCATATAACAGCAGAACGCATATCTGTAACTATTTAAAACTTCATTCACATTCAATTCTGATGAAAGAAATAATTGCACCTCCTGAAAAATAATCAAAGAAGTTAGACCAAGCTTTGGTTTCAGACACAGTTTCTTTTCAGAGTAGTTGGCAGCTTTGTTAAGAAGTTTTAGGCAGACTTGCATGAGAGAAGTACAATGGGATTGGAGTGTCTTACATTTGCAGTTTGGAAGCCTTCAGTTTTTCTAGTATTTTACTTCCCCTACATTTCAAAGATTATATAAGCTTTTTCTGTCTTGGGTGAGTGTGTTAGGGAAGAGGCAGGAGCAGAAAGGCATGTGCCACGTACTAGCTGAGAGTGTTCACAGACTGTGGCCAATGAATGTAAGTCTTGAGCCCTCTGGTTAAGGCAGCCAGAGATGAGTAGGTAGCCTTAGGAGAGCCCACCAGCTCAGTGTAAGTGTTCATCTGATCTCCTGCTCTTGGGTGAAAGCAGAGTGCAAAATCCAGCCTGTAGATGTTGAGAATGGGTAGTGCTAAATTATTTGATTGAATACTTTGTATAATTAAAAATTTTAATATCAAAAACTCCTGCACTTATACATAATACAACCAAAAGTCTTCATGTTGTAAGAATGTAACAATGGCTTTTATCATAAAGTGTTTGAATTCATTCTGTTTTTCTCAAGTCCAAATATTTGATCCTGCATTAGGTTCTCTCTACATTCACTGACAAAGAGCAAGCTGCATATGCAAAAGCAGGAGCTGTGGCAGAGGAAGTTCTGGGCTCAATCCGTACTGTAATAGCTTTTGGAGGACAAGAAAAAGAAATTAAAAGGTAAGAGCAACTCTTGCTTTCATCAGCTGATTCCAAAGGACTCACTTCAGATGGTTTCAAATTTTCTTGCATCTTCACTGCTGAAAGTGTGCCCAAAGAGGTATACATTGTGCTTGCTAGGTAATGGGTCTGGAAATTGCCTGTTACTAGTTTTTACAAGATCAAGACATCTTGTTGTTTCAACAAGATGTGTTGAATAGCAATTAGGGTGTTTTGTTTTTTTTAAGAAATTGACAAATATGGTTGATATATCATCTCTACTCTGGAAAGTGCATAAACTGCCACTTCAAATAGTAAGTGGTAGTTTTAGACAGAAAAGGCTGTGCCGTGAGAAGAGATGATGATATCTTTGTTTATCTGATTACTCAGTAGTTGTGAGGGTTCTGCTAAACAATATTTTTATTTTTGCTATACTATAAAACAATTATTATGCTATATCTTAGTCTTTTATCTTAAGCTAACAAAGATAATCTCAAAACTTGTCACGGATGGTTCACAGTCAAAGTTCACTCAACCTCAGGTTATTTCAAGGAACTCATATGCCCTTTCCTGAATTACAATACACTGTTGTTTTTTTGTTTTGTTTTGTTTTGTTTTGTTTTTGTTTTGTTTTGTTTTCTGTCTGCCAGTTCAACTGATGTTCACATTTTTGGAAATTACCTTAAGTTATCCCTATGCCTTACTGCCTTATACCTTATCAGGTTTACCTTTGTACATTCTTAGATTTATATATCGTATTATCTTGTAGTACCTAAGTAATGTTCTTTAACTAATTCAGCCATAGTTTTTGGTGCTGTGTGCCATGGTACAAGTCTAAGTGTATCTTTAACTTTTGCCTTTCTTCAGGTATCGTAAAAATTTAGAAGATGCTAAACGCATTGGAATAAAAAAGGCTATTACTGCCAATATCTCTATGGGTGTTGCTTTCTTACTGATATATGCATCGTATGCACTGGCCTTCTGGTATGGAACTACCTTGATCTTAAATGATGAGTACACTATAGGCAAGGTTCTCACTGTAAGTATTTATCAGTAACTTCCCAATCATATTGAAAAATAATACTCTGAAGTGCATTTTCAGAACTTAATTAGGGTCACTCAGGATGGTTTGCCAAATTGGCAAAGTACCTTCTTTTCTTTTTAACAAAAAAGCTTATAACCAAAAATGTCTACACACTTTTTTTGCTATAGATTTTCAAAATCTACATCAAGCCAAATAAAATAAAGATTATTTTCGTCTGTTTCTACATCTTTGTGACTTCCATAAGTTCATACTGATATAGAAGCAGTTCAGTCACAACCTGAAGTACAGTACCCTTCCTAGTTGATATTTATTTTCAGATTTGCAGGACTGAATATGTTTTCAGGATGCAAAATGACATAAACTTAAAAAAAAAAAATGTTATGTGTTCTAAATAGATCCATTTATTAATCCTTTTTTTTTATATATATATTTTGCTCCATACAACCCAGGAATCTCTTTTCAATATTTTTAAAAAGCAAGGGGAAGGAAAATATATTTGTGACTAGAAAATATGTCACTACCTAACCAGAGGAAGAAAAGTGTAACTCATATATCATAACTTAAATTCTTCTCTATATGTGACAACCATTCTACTTTCATATGAGATATCAAAGAAATATGGTAAAAAAAATATTTTTTTAACCATGATGAAACCAGTCAGAATACGTGTATTTTTACATCCCATTAAAGCTACCTGATTTTTCTTTATTTATGAATCACTCAAATTTGCAAAAATTGTTTCTGATGTGTGATTCTGTCTCTTTTGAACTTTTGCAGTATGAGGCCTGTTTTTTAAAGGGCAGGCAGGCATACAGAACACCTTAGTCAGGTTCAGACAATTACTCATGCCCTTGTGTGTAGCTGTTTTCCGTTCAAAGTCTTTGCAATTATATGTTGTCTGTTTTGCAATTCATCAAACAGGAGTTTATAAAACATGAATTAGAGCGTGTATGTTGCAAGTCTTGCACTGTATCATAAGGGCATCCAAGGGTATAAGAGGTTACAACTCTTGGAAAATAGCGCTGCAATCTGATAAGTAATATGAATTAAAAAAGGTATAGTTAAAAACTGCAGAACCTACAGGCTGCACTTTTACCATACATTTGTTCAGCAAAAAAGTATAACAGATCATCCTAATGTTAAATATAAACAAATGCAGTAAAAGCTGGGATTAAAACTGGAATTAGTGTTTTTGTGATGTATTACTGACACAGATCTGGTAAAGAAGAAAGCAGTTTTGTAAAAGGTATGCATATTAGAAGGACTTGTAGCTAATTTCACACAACTATTAGAAAAATCTTCTTGAGCAGATGTGAAAATTTGATCCAAAAACACACATCAAAATGTCAATGGAAATATTTCAATGTTTGAGGGAACCTTTCCTCAGATCTTAAAATAATTTTGAAAAGGTTTCTGAATCTATAATTTTGTCAAGATATAGGAAATTTAGCATGTCCTAAGTAAATGCTTCAGTCAACAAGCGGTTGCTTTTTTTTTTTTTTTTTTTTTAATGCATGTGTTCAATTAAAAATTAATTATCTTCGGAATATCTTTTGTCAAAGAATGCATTAGTACAATAAATCCTGAGACATCATGTCATTTTTTTTTGCGTAGAATTTGCAGGTTTCATTCTCAGTCATCTTTTCTGTCCTCATGAGGTTGTTTGCAGCATTCACATCATGCTCTTAAGAAGTCCTGGCTCACAGCTGGCTCTTAAGAAGTCCTTTTCTTAATCTTATTCTCTGTTTAAGAAAGAATCTTTCATTTTTCCTTTAATTCTAGACTACTTAAACTTCCATAACAGGCATGGAACCTCTGACCCAAAGTTACCTAACATAAATAAATAAACATAATTCTCTGCTTAAATAGGACTTGATATATGTCACCATAAACATTTCTTTCAGGTCTTTTTCTCTGTATTGATTGGAGCTTTCAGTATGGGACAGACTGCTCCAAGCATAGAGGCATTTGCTAATGCAAGAGGAGCAGCCTATGCCGTATTTAATATCATAGACAATGTGAGTATCTTTGGCCTTGCTCAGAGACCATTCTTTTTAAAGTGCAGGTAATGTGAAATTAGTAAAAGTAAATAAGATTGAGTAAAATAAGATCTAATTCAAATATCTATCTGATGTTTTGAAAACATATTTCAATATCAATGTGGATAAAATAACATAGAATTGATCGCAGCATCAAATTTTAACCTGATATATATATTGGAGGCCTATTTAAGACTGGAAGGAAAATCAACATATTTTTTAATTAGATTCTGTGTAACAAAGGTGGAAAATGGAACTTTCCCATATCTAAATCATTGAGAATATATTTGTTCAATTGTCAATAAATAAAAAGTCTAATTTTACTGCTGCTGCATAATTAGTAATTTACTGCAATAGTTAACTTCTAATTTTATCCAATTTTGGCAATGCTAAAAAGTTCATTTATTTTCTCAGAAGCATAGAATCATAGAATCATAGAATATCCTGAGTTGGAAGGGACCCTTAAGGATCATCAAGTCCAACTCTTGACACCGCACAGGTCTACCCAAAAGTTCAGACCATGTGACTAAGTGCACAGTCCAATCTCTTCTTAAATTCAGACAGGCTCGGTGCAGTGACCACTTCCCTGGGGAGCCTGTTCCAGTGTGCAACCACCCTCTCCGTGAAGAACCCCCTCCTGATGTCAAGCCTAAATTTCCCCTGCCTCAGCTTAACTCTGTTCCCGCGGGTCCTGTCACTGGTGTTAATGGAGAAAAGGTCTCCTGCCTCTCGACACCCCCTTACGAGGAAGTTGTAGACTGTAGTTGCATAAATATATGCATAAAGGCAGACAGAATGTATAGTTATTAGTCAGTCCCTCTTTGTCTTTTAGTTATTGTTTCTTGCTTCAGAGATAATAGTATTGGATCACTGGATCTCTTAGTGTTGGAAGTACTCTGTAATGTTTTTATCATGAAGGTCACATCTATGGCGACATATAGAGATGTGATTACAGTTGATGCAGGGCATAGGGTCAAAGGCACCACCAGCAGCATGAATTTTTAGTAAATTTATAAAACACTAGCAGGTAACCTGGTAACCTACTTTAATTGACAGGAGAGTCTGAAATCAGGGATGCTGTGATTTTACGAGCTAATGAAATTGTATAAAATGGAATTACATGTTTTGTATTATTTGTACATACTTCAAATTCTAGACCTACCCTTGATGATAATGCAAAGAGAAGTAATTAAGAACTCTGTTTCTGCTTAATGATTTTTACTTAATGGTCAGTGAATCAGTTCTTTCTCACAAAATGTTTAGAGCAGAAAGGCAAAGCTCTAAATGAGCAGAGTCTGAACAGCTCATTGGAAGTGATCTGTTCAGGTTAATCAGGCAGTGGAATGCATCTCAAATTACAGCTAGCTGTGGGTACGTTCTTAAAGACAATATATTAAATTCACACAAAGTGTTAAAAGGAGAAATTATAAAAGTATTTTACATTAACAGAAATATAGTAATGAGGCAGCAAACCATGCAACTTACATGTTTCAGAAGCCTTGCTCTCTAAATAAATTTAAAATTCGATCTATATTTATTATATTTATATTATATCTCTACAGAATAATGGTGCACTCTAAGACTTCTTTATGAAACAAAAAAGTTATTAGGAAGTAATTTTTAATTTTTTTTTCTCTGCATGTTTTATTTCACACAGGAACCTCAAATTGATAGTTATTCAGAGACAGGCTACAAACCAGACCACATTAAAGGGAACTTGGAGTTCCAAAATGTTCACTTCAGTTACCCATCCAGACCAGATGTTCAGGTATTGTACATGAAACTTGATATTTATTACATATCACGGGGGGGGGGAGGGGGAAGGAATCATATAAATAAAATTTTCTTGCAAATGTAACAACTCCAGGTTGACTCTCTAAATCATGTATAACTACCTTGTCATCACAACTGTTTAACCTGGAATTATTTGTACCTTAGCTAAATGTGCTTTTCTGAATAAAGCTATAGTCAGTGTGACTATGTGATAAAACTTCAAAATTTATTGCTATAATAGTCATACTTTATACATCTAATCCAAGTGTTTATGCATAATAATATGTTTATGCATAAAAATAATGACAAAGGACAAGCAGATCCCAGAAGGACTTGTTATATGTGACCTGGAGATCAGAATTTGCATTTCTCTGTCTAGACAGAAAAAAATAATAATTAAAAAAAAAAAAAGTTTGCTTTTTTAAAGTGTTGTCATAAAACTGGAGTCTTAATGCAGCAAAGGTCGAAGAGATTTGAATGATTTCTGAAAATAGTTTAATAAAGAGTGCCTTTACACTATATAATTATTTATTTCCCCACCTTGAAGGAAAATCACTGACTAACTAAAGGGATCTTAGTTTTGATAGGTCAAAAGGAAAGACATAGTTTTCTTTACAAGCCATTTTACCCATAAATGTTTGAAAAAGACTTCGGATTTTCCTTCTATCAGAAAAGTTAATGAAGTAGTTGATTTTTCTTCATATAGAAATATGAATAAAAAGGGATTTATTGATCTCAGTAGGTTATTTTCTAAGTTTATATAGGTATGATATGAACAAAGACATTTCTCCCCTCTCATTTCAGACATTATAATTATATGAAGCTAAAGCTATACCAATTAGAAAGTATTGCATAAATTATAGTAAAGAAAAGGAAAATTAGGAGGTCAAATAACTAAGAAGAGTTCATTTCTGCCTAAATTTTACCTACCTGATGTTAAAGTTAACTCTTCTTTGCGACAAGATTAAGTACAGAAAAATAACTGACAGGCATGAAGACTGCAAGTTACTTCCTATCTCATTGGATAGGTTTATTTGCTGTCCTTATTCTCTCTTCTCTGTATGCTTTAAGTTGATAGAAATAGTCTTAACGGATTCAATTGTGAATATTATTTTGGTATAGGAAAAAAGTTCTGATCACAGAAATCAGTGTACATTGAAATTGGTAGTAACCCACACATTTTAGTACAACTTCTATTGCTACTTTATTTACATTAGGTTTGCTTGAGTTCCATGCAAGGTCTATAGACTAAATGCATTATGACTAGAAGATTGAGTAAGTTTCATACTTTTTTAACTATTAATAATTATGCAAGACTTTGTGTTTTCATCTAGAAATACTATAGCAAAGACATAATAAAAGTTATTTGCATGTCTCTCTTGTCCCCAAAGAGTGAGATATATTTCACTTGTGAAGCACACAGATTGGTACTAAGGGTGAAGAGGCAGTGGTAGTGTTGAGAGTAGGAATCTATGAAGAAAGAAATGCTGATGATGACACAGGGCTGCAATGCATTGGGAAGTACATTTGAGGCACTATTTGAATGCATCAACGCATGGTTGTACATTCAGAATGGAGAAATAAACTTAGCCCAGATGTGGATGCTGTCATTCATGTTTGCATAGTTCATTGTAGCTTAGTCCTTCTAGAACACTAATTAGCATAAATATGCTTTTCTCCTTTTCAATAATTGATTCCAGCCAAATAAGTTGTATAAAGTAGTGAAAGACTCCTTTACATGTTGTCTATACAAAATGTTTTTATTTATACTTTATTCCTTTTTTTCTCCCATTATTGTATACTCACACTACTCAGGTGAACAAGTTAAGCAGAAACATGGGTAAAAATAAGTAAACATTTCACATGGATGATGTGTATCTGTTCTCCAGCCCCACTACACAGTTCAATACAGGTTATGTTCTTAAAAATAAAATTAAATAGCAATTCCACCAAAGAGTTATGTATATCCGTTCTACAAGTCCCAAGAAAAGCAAAATGTATCTTCCATGGCTGCGAAATAATGTATTTTATGGTGACTAGTACAAATATATATATTTATATATAAACTTATATGTATATAACCTAATATATATATGTGTATATATATATATAACCTTTTGGCAACCATTCTTATACATACAGATTCTGAAAGGCTTGAATCTCAAGGTCAACTGTGGCCAGACAGTAGCCCTGGTTGGTGGCAGTGGCTGTGGGAAAAGTACAACTGTTCAGCTCATCCAGAGATTTTATGATCCCAAGGAAGGCACGGTAAGACACCTCAAGCCAGATGACTGCTCTGTGTGTCACAGTTGTTCAAAGTCAGCTTCTGGTCTCGTTGCCCTTGATCAAATGACACGGTCAAGTCTCCCATCAAAAGCCATGTGCCAGCCTGGGGAGAGAGAGTCCTTGACCAGAACGCTTAGTAAATGGGTTGTGTCCGCTTCCTTTCTTTAGATTACCATTGATGGGCAGGATATTAAGACCTTGAATGTAAGATATCTGCGGGAGATTATTGGTGTGGTGAATCAGGAGCCCGTGCTCTTTGCTACTACCATTGCAGAAAATATTCGCTATGGCCGAGAGGATGTCACCATGGAAGAAATTGAGAAAGCTACCAAGGAAGCTAACGCTTACGATTTCATCATGAAGCTACCCAAGGTAAGCAAGCTGCTGTCCTGCTGAAATAACTTCCCTTCAACCTACTCACACCTAAGAGTTCCTTAGGAGGGATTCTCCTTAGCCGAGGAAGCTGTTCCCAGAGCTGTGAATATGCAGAGCTATGCAGAGCTTCCTCATAACTTTTGAGAAGAATGTTAGTTTTGACATACAGGGGCTACTAAGGGAGATGTGCCCTTTCCTTACATTGCCTTTCTGTGGTGAAAGGACCGTGCCACTGACTGTTGTTCAAACGTGTGTGGTTGTCTTGTAGAAGTTTGAAACCGTGGTTGGAGAAAGAGGGGCACAGCTGAGCGGAGGCCAGAAGCAAAGAATAGCAATTGCCCGAGCTCTGGTTCGCAATCCTAAAATTCTTCTGCTTGATGAGGCAACGTCAGCTTTGGATACTGAGAGTGAATCAGTTGTGCAGGCAGCACTTGACAAGGTCAGTACTGCTCGTTTGTTTAAAGAGCTGCAAGAAATATGAAGAAATTACTTCTAAAAAGTGTAAGGTAATTGCCTGAATTTGCAAATAATTTATGCTCATTCAAAGACTGGGAAGTGGCCGGTATTGCTATGAAATAAAGTAGATGAGGAGGAGCCGAATGTGATATTTATTGAAAGAGCTTCAAGAAATAGAGACCCTTATAGCACAATAGGTAAACTTGATTTTGGCAAATATTTTCTGGATTGAGAATTTTTGGGACCCTAACATGAAGATGAATGTTTGAATATACTTAAAAATATTCATGAAAAATGTTATTTCTAGGCAAGGGAAGGACGTACCACGATTGTAGTAGCTCATCGCTTGTCAACAGTCCGAAATGCAGATCTTATAGCTGTGTTTGAAAGTGGAGTTATCACAGAAGAAGGGAATCATTTTAAACTGATTGAAAGAAAAGGAATCTACTATAAACTTGTTAACATGCAGGTACTTTCTTTCCCATTTGCTTTTGCCTTTTGTGTGTGTGTGTGTGTGTGTGTGTGTGTGTGTGTGTGTGTGTGTTCCATTGTATGCTCTCAGAAATACTGGGAATTCTGCAGCCTATTTTGTTAGGTGCAAGTAAATATTTGACAGAGAAAACCACAAGAATTGATAGCAGACATATTTCAACCCAGGATAGTACGTTTTTAATACTTTAGTGATTTGAACTTAAAATATTTTTCTATATTCTCCTATTAGGCAGCTAACATCACTAATTTATTATACAAGGTAGAGCACAGTAGTTGATTACCAGAGAAATACAGCATGCATATTTAAGGTGGTTGATTATAATCCTTCACAATGAGGTTCTTTAAAAAAATAATAAACAAACAACAAACAAAGAAACAAAAAGTTTAGGAATAGAAATAGAAGAAAAGCAATCCAGGTTATGACAAATGAAAAATATGTACACTTATAGTTAGGTAGTCAGAAACAAATAATAAGAAATTAAAAATCAAACATAAATATCAGAAATGTATTGGTTAATAAGTGAATAAAAAGTACTTTTCGTACATCCCAATATCAGCTGTGATAATTAGGTTATACCTGAGCTTTGCCATAGCCTTCTGTGCCACTGGTGTTTTAATGTATAACCGTCACATCCATTAAGGAAACTGAAAGAGGTATCTAAGTGATACCTGAGTATCACCCTGAAAAGGGTGAACTAGGCCAATTAAAACACTTTTTCATAAAATGAGAATGCACTTGGTCACCATAGATTTAAAGTAATTTTGTATTCAGGTAAATGTGATAAAGGGAAAAATCAGAAAATGTAAAATTAAAAAAAAAAAAAAAAAGCAATTTCTATAACTTTCACAATAAAAACCAACACAGCACAATAATTAAGGAATCAGAAAAGAGAACAGAGAGGAAAAGAAAAACAAACAAAAAAAAAGTATTTTTTATTATTACCATGAAAAGCAATAAGGAAAATAGGAAAAATAAAGGAATACAAGCTGAAGGCCAATTTTAATCTAATTGCCATTATTACCCTCAGTAGTTGGTAGATATTTGATCATTTTGCCAAAGACACTGGCAAAACTACCATCAAAAGTAAAGCTTTTTTCTAGATGTTCAAATTTTTCAGTCAAAATCTCTTTTCAACTTGTACCATTCTGAACTATTACATTTAAAGTCAAGAATTGTTCGCAGTGTTCTGCACTGGAGAGGAGTCACTTTTTCTCACTTCATGGATAAACAGTGAGAATTCTCCCCTGAGAATTCTCAAAAAGATACTGAGATGGGTGTAAATGGTTCACACAATTTAAAACCCTGTTAGGAATTAATTCATACTTCCACTCCTCTTCCCTCCACCTAGTGTAAATATTTCCTTGACAGGTTTGATACCCATATATGAATCCAGCTCTGAAGATTGAGATCTACTTAATAAAACACAATTTTTCATATCTGCTCATAGCATTATGCATTGTTCTGCCCCTATCTCTTTCCAGTGAATTGTGATTTTGGTTACCTTTACTTTGATTTCCTCATAATTTTGAAAGTTCAAAGTACTATATCCATAATTAATCTCAGTGTTATGTTTTTCCCTGTTTCAGACAATAGAAGCTGAAGATACATCATTGGAAAAAGGTGAGAATGCAGTCAGTGTCAAAAAAAGTGAGTCTGAACTGGAACAGGAAGAATCCTTAATGAAAGGTCTGAGAAGACGATCAACTCGCGGAAGCATGAAAAAAACAGGAGAAAAGAATGATGATGCTGATATGAAAAATAATTCACCTGTAAGTATCTTTGCAGAGCTGTTAGTGAACTTTAGTTTCTTCCTACTAAGTGTATTCATGATGCTACTCTAGAAAGGTACAAGAAGAAAGAAGCCTTTTCTAGCTTCTAGTGAAACAAATTAGATCTTTTTCTAATTTTAAATAGCTTTTGACCGGTAGTATTCCTAACTTCCTAACTTTTGTTATCTCACCATGAACAACTGTACAAATAAAATGGGACTTTTAAAATCTATAGCTAGGATACATTTATTCTTGAAAATCCCTTTGCTATAAATCAAAAATATATATATCTGTACAGCATATAGACATAGTATATATGGGTTAAACATTCATTTTTAGATCAGAAACAAAACATTTGCACCAACATACAACTCTTGCAACAGATCTGGAATATCAGAGGATTTTGTTCATACCTGCAGCAAATACTTTGCCATCAGTTATAAATTGCTCAATGGACAATTACTGGAATTAGACTAGTTATGAATTACACACAGGAATATGCTATGAATATGTTCAGTCACAACTAAACATTACCAAGAGTACTGATCAATAAAAATTACATAATTAAGCTAAAATGTTATGACAAGAATCACAGATATGTTTTAACAGCTCTTTGTTTGTAATATAAAGATTATAAAAATAAATGTTTAATGAGTTAATTATTTGTTATTAAAAAATATATATTTTAGTTTTTCCTGAATGTATCCTGGGAGTAGGAAATCAAATATTAATAGTTCTTTTTGACATATTTCTCCAAACACATATATATATATTTCCTAACCATTCTTTAGGATGAAGAACTACCTCCAGCTTCATTTTTGAAAATTATGAGCTTGAACAAAACTGAGTGGCCATACTTTGTTGCTGGAACTATCTGTGCAATTATCAATGGAGGTTTACAACCCGCATTTTCAGTCATATTTTCAGAAATTATAGGGGTAAGTTCAAATAAAGTATATAAAACTTATAAAACATAAAACTTATAAAACATGGCCCATAAAACTTATTTCTGATAAACCTAGGTCTTAAACAACCACTGAATTATGAAACTGAGGAGTGGATGAAGCACTGTTACGAAAAAATCTTAAGAACTATATGTTTACAAAATCCTAAAAATCTTGTTACAAACTGATTTTTTCTTCTGATACTTCCAATAATTTGCAACATATACTCAATTTTTCAATGTATACAAATGAATATCAAAAATAGTTATGAAAAGTATGGGAATATTTTAGACTATTAGTTGTTTAAAAATGATATTTCAAATATTATTTTATAGATTTTTTCACAAACTGAGGAGACATATTTGAGAGAAAAGAGCAACTTATATTCACTGCTGTTTTTAGCACTTGGGATCATTTCCTTTTTTACTTTCTTTTTTCAGGTATGTACTATTATTTTAGCTTTATTATAACTGTTCTAGATTTGTCATATTTATCACATAAATTTATATTATTATATTTTTAGCTTTATTATATGTTGCACTATAATTTCTGGATATGTTTAATTTTGTATAATTTTATAAATTATTCTGCACAGTGAGATGATAGTTTACTTGTAAGAGTAGCATAAATGTGTATCTAGTCTGAACTTCTGATGGTGCATGTCCATCACAACCAAGGAGCAGGGGCTGGCACCTCTCTTTGTGCATCCCCTCCTTGGCAGGCTGCCCAGAGCTATGAGGCAGCCTCTCGGCCTCCTCTTCACACCAGACAGCCCAGGTGTCCCCAGCCTCTCCTGTTCACAGGCCTTCCAGCCCTTGTACAGCCTCAGTACCCCACTCTGGGTGCTGTCAGGTCCCTGAACATCCTTTTCTGTGGTGGAGCCAAGACCCGCACACAGCAGTCGAGGTGGGGCAGCACCAGCACTCAAATGCAGCGGGAGGGAGGATCACCTCTTCTGGCCGGCTGGCTGTGCTGTGCTCAGGGCACCCCAAAAATGGGATTTGCCCTCCTGGCTGCCAGGGCACACTGCTGGCTCACGCTGTGCCTGCTGCCACCGGCACCCCCAAGGTCCCTTTCTGCTGAGCTGCTCCCAGCCACTCGTGTATCTTCCAAAACTGTAACCAGCATATTTCTTTGTTTATCTTGTTAAATTGATTGATGTTAATAGTTAAACATATGTTCAATTCATTATAAAGCATTTGTTATGTGTTACTACCAATAGTTATGTCAGGTTGTATTAGGATCCCCGGAAAGAAACCATAATTCCATTGGAGTCAATGGGAAATCTGCCATTGACCTCAGTGAATCCAGATTTCCCTAAGAAGTCTTTAACTTGAAGGCCACCTTTTTAAATCTCACTTAGGTCAACTCTGATAAAAATGTAGTCAAAAGGTTCATTAGTGATCTTTTTCTTCAAGCATGCTGGGAAATATTGCTAGGCTGTCTTATTTCATTGAGAAATATAATAATTGAACATCTGTACTGTGAACCAATTGGATTTTATGAATGTTAAACCTCATTTTATGTTTTGTGTGATCATAACTGCAATAATTTGTATTTTGATATTGTAGAGACGATGTATCTAAAATATTTATTGAATAAATACAAACAATCTAATTGTATGCTAAGCACTATAATTCTTCTCAAACAGGGTTTCACATTTGGCAAAGCTGGAGAAATTCTTACAATGAGGCTTCGATTCATTGCATTTAAAGCAATGCTTAGACAGGTAAAGACAAATATTTTAATTTGCAGTATTTTAATAATAGTTAGTTGTACATCTCTAGAATATCTGTATTCTATTCTATCATGTTATGACTTGTCTACAAAGAAGATTTTTTTTCTAGTTTTGAAATCAATATTGTTAGTTACATGGGGTTCAGTAAAGTATCTGTAAAGAAAGTTCTTATATTGATTTAAGAGTCTTTTTATATTCTCCTTGCAAAGCCTCAGCCTCACAGCCAAGTCGTTATGGCTTAGCATTAACACCAGCCAAATTCCATGTGTTCAGATGCTTGCTCTCCTTTCTTGGTGCCCTTTCTCTCCAGTCATTCTATGATTACAGTATAAATCAAATGTTTGGTCTCGTGAATATATTACTAGCTGTGTAACTAATGCCCGATCAAATGGCTTAGATCAGATAGAGTTTCAGTATGGGAGAAACAAGACAATGAATCAGGAGTTTTTACCTTTAAAATACTTTCCATTTAATCCATCTCCAAAGAGCTTCGCAGTTGTGAAGGAATGTGATTTAAGAGTCATCTCCCCCTGGAAGGTGCAGTTTCAATAGCTGTCCAGGAAGGTCTATTTTGGTTTTGGGAATTTCACAGGTGGCGCTCCTTCCTTCTCAGCAATGGCAGAATCATTCATCCTTCATTCATCAGATCATCCAAAAATATACACTTCTTCCTAGCATATTAATTATACAATGAAGGATTTAGACTTAAATGTGCAGAAATGATGCACCAGGTATGCAGAAGTGATGCACCAGGCAGACATACATGGTCTTCTGGCACTGAATTAGCTAGGTCTCAGTTTTACTTTCAGGTTTAAATTAAATACAGAAAATCTGGTCCTAAGAAAAATGCTTCTTATTGTAGGACATGGCCTGGTTTGATGATCCTAAAAACAGCACTGGAGCATTAACTACAAGACTTGCCAATGATGCCTCACAAGTGAAAGGTGTAAGTAAAATTTTGGTTTAGAATTTAATATTTGATTTAGTACATAGTAAGGTTGGAGTAGGGATTTGACTGGTTGGTTCACAGTCTTGACTTTGACAACAAAAAAAATCTGCTATTAGTGATGTTCATTATTAAACAAATTCACCAGGAATCACTTTACCCAAGATATTCATATAAGTTTGTTGCTCTGTTTATATCAGACTTCTAATTTTTTTAATTGTACAGATTCCTTATATATATATAAAAATAATAGACACAATAGCAATAAACTTGGAGATTCTTTAGAATTAATTTGTGGACTTTCAGAAATCATTGCTAAATGATTCAGTGCTAAAGAGCACTGAATGAACTGTGCATAGATGCTTAAATTACAAGACTATATATTTTTTTTTCCTTTTTGTCTAGATGAAGTTAATTGCTTTTTTTTCTGAAGTGAAGAGTTCTATCTCTGATATTTTTGCATGATATCAATTAAACGTTTAATTTTCTTCTTCATTGGTCTCTGTGTTATGATATATAAGCTGTCTTCATGATCTGTGAAATGTGATGCATTTTAATGTTTAGCTGTAAATATAAACATCTGACATGCTTAAAGTCTATTTAACTTCATAAACTGACTTTAGAAATTGCAGTGAAAACTTAAGTAATCAGAATATGGGGAGAGGAAAAAGTAATTGTGAACCAGATACTATTTTACAAAATAATTTAAGAAAATCCCATCTCAAAAAATTGCAAAACTGCATTAAGAATTTCCAAATATTTTTTGGAAAATCAGAAATTATATGGGTGTAAATGTTTTCATGATCTGAGATGCTGATATTTTAGCAAAAAAAAAGTCTTTTTTTTCTTTCCCTAGGCAACTGGTGTCCGATTAGCATTAATTGCCCAAAACATAGCTAACCTGGGAACTGGAATTATTATATCATTAGTTTATGGCTGGCAGCTGACCCTGTTACTTTTAGCGGTGGTGCCAATCATCGCAGTGGCAGGAATGATCGAAATGAAGATGTTGGCTGGGCATGCTAAAAAAGATAAAGTAGAGCTGGAAGCTGCAGGAAAGGTGGGTCTAGTGAATTTTATCTATTTTTGTGTAATATCAGTCATGTTTACCAAGCCACTGATAATGGATATATTGCTTCCAAATACAAAAGATATCATAATATGTAACTTCCAGAGATGGCCAGATTCTATAGTTACACTAGTAGGCCAACAGAACATAACAGCTCTTCAATAATAAGTGAAGGCTTATATAATTAACTGATAGTTATTTTTGTAATTGATAAACCCCAGAATGTGTTAAGCACTGCTCAGGAACATTCTTTTTCCTGTCCTGATCATCTCCTGTTTTCCTTATTTTACAGCACTCTTCATTTTGACATTCCTTTTTCCTTTTCATTTTCTTGCCTCCTGTTTTCAGCATGTCATCTGTCTTATCTATATTATACTGCTCTTTTTATTATCTTTCCTCTTACTAATGCTTGCAGGGATAATATGTGTATATCCACTGGTTTCTGAATCTGTCTGTCATTCATTTGTTTCTTGAATGGAAGAGAAAGATGAGAGTTGAAAAACAAGAAAGCTAGGCTTTTGTTTAAGAAATTAGAGGAAGGTGTTTAATGTCACTTCATTCCAAAAATCCTTTTGGGACAGAACAACTATTTCATCACTTCCCTGGTATTTACTTTCTTCAAGGTAAAACTTTTGTAATCTTCCTTTGTATGTCTTACTGTTTTCAAAAGTTGTTGAGAAGAGTCATTTACAGGCATATGGTATTAATCTTCAGATTAAACGTATGTGTCTGCAGACATGCTAGCAGTATAATGTTCCCACACTTATTGGAGATGCCAGGGTATCAGAGACCTCCAGCTGCCATTTCAGAAGCATATGGGTCTACTCTGTGTTCTGTGTCATGTCTGCTATACCTTTCCCAAATGTTCTGGGTATCCTAGAGCATCTTTGATGGCAAAATACACCTACATGTGGGCGACTGAATTTTGCTCCTACCCACTTCATTTAATGATCCTGGAGAAAGAGGCTATGTGAATTGATGGCTTAGACACTTAAAGACAGGTGTCTTAACCTGGATCTGAATCCCCCTAGTAACTCCTATTTACTGAATTTATTTTATTTCCCTCCATCGTGTCTGTCAGTTAAGTTGTTCAGAAACATCTTTGGCCCTCCAAATCAACAGGAAATTCTGTGTAATGATCTTTCCATGGGCTTTTAAATATAAGCCAAAGAATGCATTTCCTTTCCTTTTTCTTCTGCTTCTTCTTTCTAATTGTTGTGCATTTATTTATTTATTTGTTTGTTTGTTTGTTTTAAGATATGACAGGAAAAAGACTGATAATTCTTGAAATCGGCCCTGGAGAATTTCCTCATTTACCAGGCTGTGAAAACATTGTCACAGGTGTTACCAAAACTAATGATTTTTGTCAGTGCTTGAGAAAGTACTTAGTTTTCTTAGCAGTGTATGAGTTTTCCCTCTCAGGGCAAGCAAGCACTAGACCACAGGCATTTTGTTCAATTACAAGAATATATAAAATCAGTTTTCTTCAGTGAAAACAGGGTTTTACCTTGAAAATTTGCTTTCTGAAAAATCTTGCTAAACTTGTGTTACTAAGAATACTACATGACTACTCCTTTGAATTTTGGTAAGACAATATAACTAAGAAGAATAAACTCTATTTCATTTCTTTGTTATCATTAACATCGTGTATTACATTCAAATCAATAATTTTTTTATAGCAAATTGTCAAACACAAGTTATACATGTAGTATCCTGAGGCTATCAGACAATTATATCCTTATATTTTAGGACAAATATAATAGTACTGCAGTTTTAAAATCTTTGGTAATAGTTCATGGGGAAAAAAAAATGCTTCCAGGTCTGTATTTTGATTTATGTTAGATATAAGTAGTGGGGTACTGAGGTTATTTGCTCTTCTGTTTTAAACTGCAGGCATCTGAACTGTATGGTGACATATGATAAATCCAGTGTCCTATGAGGCATAATATACAGAATCACTTTTCAGAACAAAATTTCATTCTGTTACAGTACAATAACTTTTTAGAAGTGCTTATGCTTCACCCTGAAGCTTCTATCCTGCTTTTGGCATGAGTCCTCTGTTGAGAAATCTTTGCACAGAACAAGAACATTGCAGGCACAACCTGGAAATGGACAGGGTTCAGGGAACTAACAGGCACAACTTGGAAATGGACAGGGTTCAGGGAACTAGCTCCAGAGAAACACAGTGTTTCAAAGCACTGGTTCTCAAAGAGCTTTATGAAAAATGTAAGCCATATAATGCAGCAAATGTAGTAACAGTAACACACAGAATAAACGCATATCTATGCTTTCTAAAATTCAATACAAAATAATGTTACTATTGAGCTTGAAGTTTTAAGATGTTAAAAATATTATCCGTCTGTTAAGGAAAAAAAAATAATAAAAAAAAAATCCCATGGTCTCAGATATTGAGTTGCAAAGAATCAGGGGCCTCGCTACACCAGTGGGGAAACCCCAAGCATAAATAGAAATTCAGTGCTGAAAATCACTTGCTGTGAATTTGTATAATATTTACACAAATAAGAGAGATCTGCTACCTATCAGAACATCCTATCCATCCTTAGAAATGAGGCTGCTGGGCAACTGAATAGAACCTAGGTGTTTAACACCATTTGAGATGCATTAGGTTAGGGTACTGAAGACTTCTATCCATATAGGATTGTCAGATATAATACAATGTGTGTGAGAATCCTTGCCCTCTCAGCAATAGCAGCTGAGGCTGCCTGGAATGCCCAACACACCATGGCACTGGAGGCAGTATGTGGGTCATGGACTCAAGCCCAGTGTTTCAAGCAGAGGTAAATAGAGCACTAGCTCTGGTGTCTAAGATGTGTTTATTCCAGATGTTTCCTACTGTCCGTTTCTAAGAATTGTCTTCTACTACATGCATATGGACTGAATTGACCATACAGCTTTCTAGCCTCACTGTGTGGCCATTGAAGAAGACTTTATGGACACCTACATAGACGCAAGAGATTACATAAAGGCCTTAATTCAATTGCTCCCATCTAGGTGTCCATTGCCTTGAAAAGTTTCTAGATACCTTTGTGTGTGCAAATGACTCAAGTCTGAAGAATATGAAAGTTTAAAGAAGATGAGATCGAATATTTACTGCTGAGATCTAAGTTAGGCCCTTGACATATAAATAACCCAGACATTCATATAATACAGTCCACATTTAGTGGACTCAAAGCTGAATGCTAAACTGCCATTTTTCTCATCTAATATCCATAATTGTCAATGATGTCCAGCAGGTTTCACCACCTGTTTGGAGAACACTAGAGAAATCTTATCAGAAAATCCTGAGTATCATCTGAAAATCTCACCAACATAAAAATAAAAAAGTAAAAAATTACTTTTGATATGAAAGGTCAATGATTTTAATAACAATTATAAAAATTATCAAACTATACTCTAGTAGACTTCTATTAAATTACAATAAGGAACCACAACATGATCTTAACTTCCAGTTAAAACATTTGTGTTTCTATTGCAGATTGCCACAGAAGCCATAGAAAATATTCGAACTGTTGTTAGTTTGACCAGAGAAAGAAAATTTGAATATATGTATGGAGAACATTTGCATGTACCTTACAGGTATAAAAAGAAAGAAGTAAACTAAAGAATGGCAACTGTGTTTTAATTATAGAATAAATTACAAATATTTACTTGCACTAACAATTTTTGTTAGAGTTATTTATTTAGGGTATTCTCACCTCAAAGTTACTGACAAGATTCTGATTTTTTATTAACAAAGGCTGTCACTAGAAAACATAGTAGTTTGTGTACTTTGATTAATTAATTTTCTGTGGTAATATTGGTATCTTCTACAGAAATATCACTTAGTTTGAAAAAAAAAAATTAGTTTTAAGTAAACTTTGGAAGTCATCTAATCCAACCTCCAACCCAAGAAGTTTCAGGTATTTAATTAAAATCTTTCTATGCAAATTTAGTATTTCATTATGCCACTTCTGAAAGCTTGAATAGGATTGAAAACATTTAAATAATTACTTACTGGTTTGTGACTAAAAAAAACCAACTCCTTGAACTAAGATAAAATTAAAAAGTCTTAAAATGAAAAAAAAAAAAAAAAAGATATTGTCAACTAAATTACTAAACTTTTATTTGTTCTATGATTAAATATTGAAATGCTTAATTCTCACATAGCCATGAGAAAAGCGAAGGAAGTGACAGCATATATGATAGGAGGCAAACAAGAAGGGATGTTTCTAATACACCTGCCATAATAATTGAGGTTTATCTAACAACCTGTGAAAGAAGATATTCAACTCATACCCAACAAATTGCAGGACAGTACCTAACCATTCTCAGGCTTTACATGTATGGGATTTCTCCAAGACATTCATCTTAATGTTGTTCTACTAAGTATCGTCAACTTTTTCTTCAGGAAACAGGACGTATCTTTCAGTTACAGTTTCAGTGCATGTTTAGCCACTGATTAGTGAAAGAATTTGTATTTTATAAAAACTGATCTTAGGTCTTCTGTTATCTCTGATGAATGCACAAATAAGCTATATAAAGGAGAAGTCACAACAGCCTCTCTATCAAAAAAGCATACTTGTGAATCTGGCTCTTGTTTTTTTTTGTTTTGCATTTTTAAAAATATTATTTATTTATTTATTTATTTATTTATTTATCTGTTTGTTTGTTTGTTTGTTTTTTCTCCAGAAGGAAACATACAGTTGAGACCTAGGAATGGTATCAATATAATTAAAATATTTTATTTCTTTTAACTGGTAAAAATTCATATTAATCAAAAATTTTATCTCTGCCTTATTTTAGATAAAGGCATAGTTTTATCATCCAAAATCTCATTTCTGCATCATACATGCAGGCTTAATCTTACCTGAGAGAGGAATTTTAACTGCTTAAATTGAAAAGAAACAGATTTACAAGTATATAATATTGCAAAAGGTTCAACACCTTTGTTACATAGTTAACCTAAAATTGCAAGTAAAGAAAAAAAACATGACAAAAATTTGGCTTTAGATGAAGGTGAGCTAACAATTTTGATATTTTTTTTCTTTTTTTCTGTTTTTCTTTTTTCTGTGATGCAGTAGAAATGATCTGAACTGTAAAGTGTTTTAACACTCAGACAATGAGATGGTAAGGTAATAGACATAGCAGTTAAGGTGTCACCTTTTTTTACACCAATATTCCCAACTGTTCTTGGAATTAAATAAAATTCTGGAAACAAAACTAACTTGGACACAGTCTAAAAGGAGATTGCACTACTTAAGCAAGAGTACAGTTTCATTCATGGCAGCACCATCTGAAGTCAATTCACTGTTTTTTTTGCATACTAAGACTTTAGTACAATTGCACATTTTTATGAAAATATGCATTTTTTCTTACAGAAATTCTGTGAAGAAGGCACATATATTTGGATTTTGTTTTGCCCTTTCCCAAGCAATGATGTTTTTTACCTACGCTGGCTGTTTCCGGTTTGGTGCCTATCTAGTGGTAAATGGACACATGGAGTTTAAGAGTGTGTTTTTGTAAGTATCTCTTTTGCAATATTTTTTCTGTCAGTTCAAAGATTTTTGTTTGCTACATAAAGATCTCGAGAACCTATGCTATGAGAAAATAGGCAGATTTTTCTTCTTCTTTACTTAAATGCAATGACAGTGTATTACAAAGCACATTGCCACTTGATACTTTAAAAATGAATCACTAACTCCCAAGGGTCATTGAACTGTAGAGGGAAACCACAGCAATAGTAGAATTATACCAATGTTGCTGTTCATTGACCACTTTCCTCCTTGCCCCAGTTGAGATTCAATAGTTAACTAGTATTAATAATTAAATAAATTAGTGTTAATAAGTAAAGAAAACACTGAATTTTGAATGGAAGCTTGCTTATCTCGCTTCATTAAAAGAGGGTAAAAACAAACTTCTAGAACTAAATGAGTAATTAAAGCAATAATAGGTGGTTACTACTTTATTCTTTTTAAATTTAATCTCCTTTTTCTCCAGTAAAAGAAAAAGTTGACTGCAGTCCCATTTCCATTGTTTCTTTCTCCATTGTCTATTAAGCTTTGTTTCTGATTTCTTTTACAGAGTGTTTTCAGCTGTTGTATTTGGTGCAATGGCACTCGGACAAAGCAGCTCTTTTGCGCCAGACTATGCCAAAGCCAAGATATCAGCAGCCCACTTGTTTGCACTATTTGAAAGAGAACCCTTAATAGACAGTTACAGTGAAGAAGGAGAAAAGCCTGTAAGTAAGCAATGTGTAATGGACAATATTATTTATTGACACTACGGACTCTTCTTTAAACTTATTTTCCTTCTCCTTCTGACTACCTCCTTATCTCAGTGTATTCTTGACACTTTACCCAAACACAACATGGGCCCAGTTCTCTATTGTGAGACCAGTTATTACCCCACACTGTCTTAAAGGTTACTTGTTTTGAAAATCTGGTCTTAAGTTACAACTCATCCGGAATTCAACTAGTAGAATTACAAGCATTTTCAAAAATAATTCAGTGCTATACTTTGATTTTATATTTTCATAAAGATTCAGACCACAGAGCTATAGTCAGCATTGCAGCAAAGGCAAAACCCTACTGATTTCAGTGGGAAGAAAAAAAAAAAAAAAAAAAAAGATGACTTCTACAATTCTATTTGAATTATTTGCCATCTGTAAAACTTTCTTAAAGATCTAACAGTGATACTGTTTCAATTATAGGAAACATTTGGGGGAAACACAACGATCAAAGATGTGAAATTTAACTACCCAACCCGACCAGAGGTCAAAATCCTCCAAGGTTTGAATCTAAAAGTAGAAAAAGGACAAACACTCGCTCTTGTTGGTAGCAGCGGATGTGGAAAGAGCACTGTTGTTCAGCTGCTTGAGAGATTTTATGATCCACTCAGTGGAGAAATTGTAAGTATTTTTGTAAAAATATGTCAATACGTTAAGTGAGGATACGTTTATTTTATGTGATGTGATAAAGTATAACAGATATTTTGAGTCCTTCTAAAAATATTTTTAATGCTAAAGACATTGTTTGGGTTCTTTTGTATAAATGTGATGATGTGATATAATGAAAAAAAGTCCCAATTACCCACTTTATATTGAATTAATGAAATAAAATCTGTGTGGTAAAAATATGCCCAATCCACAGCCTAATAATGGCAGTGGAAATAATGCTTTGAATTCAGAATGAATTACCTAAGGTTTTAAAGCACTATGTTAAAACACTTTAAAGGTTATTAAATATGTATAGCTACTACTGTATAATATAGTAATAGAATTTTCCATCTGTGTTCTTTCCTAAAACAGTGAACATTGATGAAAATCATTTTTACCATCATTTTTACTTGTCAGAAGTGTCTTTCAGAGTATAACCACTTACCAAGTGCTAGATGTTCATAAATGCTTTTAATAGTTTTGATTTGAAATTTGTCTAGTTTTCTGCGCTTCTCATACAGCAACTTTGCAATTACTTTTCCATTTTACAGTATCACTTATTGCCAGCTTCTCTTTGATGTTAATGTGCTCAGAGATACCAGGTCTCCTGGTACATTTGTGGTCAGATTGATAAGAATGGTATATTTATGAAACTGATCTACTCAGTCAAAAAAAAAAAAAAAATATATATATATATATATATGTATATATATGTCGGTGTTTATCTAACAGACAATGATAACTCAGTAGCAAAATTTAGCAGAAGGGCCGCAGAGTTGTCAAGAAAAAAAAAAAAGGCAGCAAACGACATCTTCAGGACATCTCCAGCAGTACTCCACTGTCGGGCATCACATCACCATTACATTTAGGATTGTATGCATACTCAGTTTAGAAATGTATGAATGAATGAATCCAAGTCCTTTTTTTTTTTTTTTTTTTTTTTTTTAATGGAATACTACTGCCCATCTGTTCCTTTATTGGGAATATATATGCAAAATAAAAGAAAGTTTTTTCCATGGAAGGAAGAAATGAAAGGACTTTATTTAAAGTTCTTTGAAGCAGCCCCAGCATATTCTATCTTTTGCTGTCTTCAAAATCCTGATGAAATCTTGAAGCAAATAAAAGAACTGAGAAAGCAGAAGGGACTATAATCTCCCGTACATAACAGTCATTAGAAAAATTGAGGATCTCCTTGAGGAGAAGGTGGGGAAGGAATTCTGTGGGCTCTCAATCTGGTATCTATAAGGAAAGAGCTGCAATTGCACAATTTGTGTGTGTCTCAAATACACATATGTCCATGTGATTGAAATTTAAAATGTTTGATTTCTCAGGTGTTTGATGACAAAAATTCAAAGACAGTAAATATCCAGTGGCTTAGATCTCACATTGGTATCGTCTCCCAAGAGCCAATCCTGTTTGACTGCACTATTGCTGAAAACATCGCATATGGAGATAATAGTCGGGAAGTGCCACATGAGGAAATTGTTAGCGCAGCAAAAGAAGCCAATATTCATTCTTTCATTGACTCTCTGCCAGATGTAAGTTATACTTTTTTTCTCCTACTCAGAACTGGAGGGGACCTGTGGTGAAGAAAAATTGCATCCCTTTGTGATTTCCTGAGATGCAATAATTCTCTGAGATTCCCTGATCTTATCTTTTTAAATCATATTTGCCATACTTTTTTTTTTTCTTTTTTTTGGGGGGGAGACTCCATTGTCAGGTGGAGAGCTGAACTTTTAAGATATCAGGAAAACAACACAGTTTCCAAAACTGTGTAAAGAAATTTTGTGATATATAACGCTGTCTCATAAAATTTTGGTGCTTTCTACAACAAAATATGTAAAATATCACAGACTATGACCTACATGAGTTTGTCCAGAGGCTTGACCAATCCACCCTGAGATATCTAAATTAAAAATATAACTGTCCAAAGCCATAGTACACATATGTAGATATAGTGTATAAATATCTATAAAACACATAATTTGCCCTTTAACTGATACATCTTATACATTATTATTTTTTCAGGATGAATAAGTATGGTTTAGAATAACTGGTTAGGAGCATTTAAGGTCAGGTTTTATCCCCAGTCATAGACTTTCTGGTGTCCTATCTCCTGACTGAGAATAGTGTTGCTCTCCAATATTGCAGGTGTCATTGCTTTAAGAAGCCTCCTAGCGAACAATCTGTAGATATGTGGTGGGTAGCTGTTTTGGTAGTCTTGTTTCAGAGAGATGTTGTCATGGAGTACACAGTTTATAGATGGCTGTTGGCAGGGTCAATATGCTTGAATAAATTCGAGATTGATTTGCATTCATATACTGAACTTTACGTATTGTTTCTAGAAATACAATACTCGTGTAGGAGACAAGGGAACTCAGCTTTCTGGTGGTCAGAAACAACGCATTGCTATTGCCCGAGCTCTTGTACGTAAGCCCCAAATTCTGCTACTGGATGAAGCTACATCTGCCTTGGACACAGAAAGTGAAAAGGTAACTTGGTTGTGGGGTGGGAATGGAATCTAAACACATTTGTATTGTGATTATTGTTTTCATTCCCACAGATTACAGCCCAAAGCAGGAAATATGTTATTTTATGTAAATCACATATGTATACTACTGATAAACAAATATAAAGGTCCTGCTCCTCTTCTCACAAAATACCATTCTCTTCATAACTTTATGGCATTAAGCAGATTGAAGTAGCAGTGAAGAAGATGTTTCTCTACCTGTAATTCTTTAGGCTTCAATTGGAAATGGTAGTCAAAATTGAACCAGGAGGAACAAACTTCAGAAACTGAAGAGTTTGAGGATACTACCAGAAACCAATTGCTGACTTAATTCCCATATATAATTAATCAGTCATGGAAGGGATCTCTGGAGGTCAAACCTCCTCTTCACACAAGGGTCTATACTGAATTCGCAACAGGTGGCTTAGTGCTGTGTCCAAGAAGGTCCTTGAAAACCTCCAAAGAGATTCAACATGCTCTCTTGGGTCCCTATTACAATACATAACCACCCTTGCAGTAAATGTTTTCTTATATCCAGTCAGAACCTCCCTGAACAATCTATGACTGTTTTCTCTTCTTCTCCCACCATGCATATCAATAATGTGCTTGGTGGCACGTTGTTGTCTTAGCTATCACAATATCATTTGGTATAATAGTTTTGACTACTTGCCAATACAGAATGAATCTAAAACAAGAAGCTAAATCCACAGATACCCCCTTTCTCTCACTACAGCAGTTTAAGTACTACAACTGCTTGAGTAATTAACCTTTTGGTTTGTTCATTGTGCAGATTGTCCAGGAAGCGCTGGATAAAGCCAGGGAAGGTCGCACCTGCATCGTGATAGCTCACCGCCTGTCCACCATCCAGAACGCTGACAAGATTGCCGTGATCCAGAACGGCAAGGTCGTAGAGCAAGGGACTCATCAGCAGCTCCTGGCTGAAAAAGGCATCTACTATTCTCTGGTCAATGTTCAAAGTGGGTCGTGCAACATGTAAATTAAAGGCAGTACTTATCTCTGAAGTGTCACTGTAATTATTTCAATACTACATTAGTATTACTTGCCAGTCTTGATACTTCTTCCTCCAAAACAAAACACCTTTTATAAATCCTATGAAAACAACAAATAATAAATGAATATGTACCAGTTTCTCCTTACCAGCTTTCATTATGCAAACTGCTTTACTATCTGGCCAAAGCAGAGACCTATTACACCCATAAAAGTAGAAGCATGCTGAGCCAAATTTAATTATTAGCTTGCTTTGAACTCTAGCTAACCTAGGTATTCAGGCAGGTCTGGTATACAGTATGTAATCATGTTTGTACTCATTAGAAACCATATTGCTACTGCTAGGAACAAGCCTTCAGCCTTATCCTCACTGTGCCTTATGCTGACTGTGTAGGACTCCAGTTCTGTCCTATTAGGCTCATTATCAATTTATGAGATCTTGAAGGTCAGCTGAAGCTTGATGCCAGATGTTTCTTGTTATGATGTGGAGCTGTAGTCTGGGATGACTGCAAAAGTCTTGAAAATATGAGCACAGGTTGAAAACAAAGGTCCCAGAACTATAAGTACCTCACTGATGGTCAGTTACTGGTCATTGAAGAAATATGACTTTAAGAGCTGGGAAAGGACTGCATTAAATATAATACAGAAAAGAAGCAGAAGATAAGAAATTATAATTACACAGCATCAGCTCTGTGATATTGTATATTAATTGCTAATTTAGCATATGACTATTAAGGTCTAACTGTTTTGAATATGTAGTAACAGCAATTAATAATTATTAAGAACTAACCATTAGCAATGTGTATTGTTAATGAATAACTGCAGTAAAGTTTTGTTTTAAAGTTTAAAACTGGCCTGATTAATCAGTCTTTCATGCTTCCGTCACGGCAATTTCTGATTCCCTGAGATTTTTAAGTATGATTTGTCTATCTACACATAGATACTTATGCACACAAACTGCTGATACAGTTAAGCTGATCAATGTACTAATAACACTCTCCAGAATGCTGATTAATGCAGTTTCATAGTATTAATCTTGAATCACTTACCTGTTTTCTTGTCTGCCTGTATGAATGAACTCCAATTTGATGAACAATTTTGTTTCCTATTACCTGAAACAATAAGGTTCTCATCCATGAGTGGTAACCATGGATGAGAGAACCATGAGACTCTTGGTCTGTACTACAACAGTAGTAAGTTACACTTGCAGTTGCAAGAAGGGAATTGATAATCCTTAGCATTATAATTTGAGGATTCGAGCAAAAATATAATTGGATTAAATACTTATTTAAAACAAACAAACAAACAAAAACTAGTTATTTGTGGGTTTTGATTTTTTGATGATTAGATTTTGCATATTTGGATTAGGAATCACAGAACAGTTAAGGTTGGAAGAAACCTCTAGACATTATTTAGTACTACCCCTGCTCATGCAGGGCCACCCAGAGCAGGTTGCCCAGGGCCTCCTCCAGGCATCTTCTGGAAATCTCTCTGGGCAACCTGTGCCAGTGCTCAGTCACATGCACAGTAAGTGTTTCCTGATGTTGAGAGAGAACCTCCTGTATTTCAGTTTGTGTCCATTGACTCCTGTCCTGGCACCGGCCACCACTGAAAAGAACCTGACTGTCTTTTTTGCTTCTCCCTTCAGGTATTTGTACATGTTGATAGGATACCCTCTGGAGTGATCTAAGAGACTCTTGACACTCTCATATATATATATCATTATTCTGAAGTAATATGCCTCTCTTCACCTGTCTAGGTTCTCTTGAGTGTTTGCAACAGTTGCAAACGCCTACACTATTTACTTTTCTGGAAGAATGTAACGTGGAAGTCTTTTTTCATGCATTCCTTGCATCATCTTTCTGCCTCTTACCTTGTTAGCTTTGGAGCAAAGCTTCAGAGAATTATCAACATTGACACCTCCTCGGCAATCCTAATAACTTTTCAAGCACATGCCACTGATTGTTGGAAAAATGAAGCAAGAAACATGTTGTTGGAAAAATGAAGCAAGTAAGTTCAACAGTCTGACAGGCCTCCTGCTGATATTCAGAAGAGTGCTCCCAAAATAAACTGTTTTAGTTCTAGGTGGCTTTTCCTACTGCATTCTTATCAGTGTGTTGAGTACTAGTACCCTATTGTGCAACATTCATGAGCACACTGAACCCCTACAAGGGCAATTGGCTGTACTTCATGCAATAAATACCTTGCTACTAAACCCTTCTATCATTTCTGATATAGAGAAAGAGCATAAATGTGCTCCAAGGTTCTTCCTCACCTTGTAAAATTCTGAAGCAGTATGCTCACCAATGCCACAGACCATGGTCCATCTCGGCTTCCGACAAAGATGGTAACGCAGTTCTGGATCTCCACAGGTCTCATCATCAGACATTGGTATTGTGATTACATATTCAGGTTTGGGTAGCAAGGGCGTTGTAGGGGTGGCTTCTGTGAGAAGAATCTAGAAGCTGCCCCTTGCCAGTTTCAGCCAGCTCCAAAAGGGACCTGGCACTCACCAGAGTAGAGCCGGTGAGTGATGCTGGTTGCACCTCTGTGAGAGCAGATTTAAGAAAGGGGAAAAACAAAAAACGCCGTGCAACAGCAGCTGGGACACCAAGGAATGAGAAACAGCCCTGAGGACACCAAGGCCAGTGCAGAAGGAGGACAGGAGGTGCTCCAGGCACACAGTACTAGTTCCTCTGAGGCCTGTGGAGAGGCCCTTGGTGGAGCAGGCTGTCCCCCTGCAGCCCATGGGTCCCACATGGAGCAGATCTCCACGCTGCAGCCCCCCCATGGTGGAGCAGGTGGATGTGGCCTGGAGTAGTCTGCGGCCCATGGAGAGCCCCCGCAGGAGCAGGCCCCGGGCAGGAGTTGCAGCCCATGGAGAGGAGCCCACACAGGAGCAGAGGGTATGGGGGGAGCTGCCGCCCATGGGGGACCCGTGCTGGAGCAGTTTGCTCCTGGGGGATGGACCCCGTGGTACGGAGCCATGTGGGAGCAGTTCTTGAAGAGCTGCTGCCTGTGGGCAGCCCCTGCAGAATCAGTTCAGGAAGGACAGTATCCATGGGAGGGACCCCACATGCAGCAGGGGCAGAAAGTGACCATGAAGGAGCGGCGGAGACAAAGCATCAGGGACTGACTGCAGCATTCCCCTTATGCTGCTCGGGGTGAGGAGGGAGGAGAAAGAAGGTGTTTTTAGTTTGTCTTTAGTTCTAACTGCTCTAGTCTGTTAGCAATAGGCAGTAAATGACATTAATCTCCTTATGCCAAGTTTGTTTTGCCTATGATTATAATTGTTGAGTGATCTCCCTGTCCTTATCTCAACCTTTGAGCCCTTTCCATCATATTTTCCTTTCAAGGAGGAAGAGTGAGAGCGTGGTTGTGGTGGAGTTCAGCTGCGTAACAGGGCATAACCACCACAGACATTTCCTCAGAGTTCTTCCCTAACTATCCCACATCAATGGGATGTTCAATAATCTTCCATCCTGATGCTGACTCCCAGGCAATCTGGCTTTAATGGAAAAAATTCTCTGTTATGAGCAAATCCCTTGAGCCTGGTTGTCTATTTTTTGCTGCTATACTTGTCTATGAAAACAACCTTTCTGATAGCATTTATATCTGCAAAACACCAAAGATCTTGAAATATTTTTAGTGAGTTTTCATTGTAATCACTCGTGTTACAAATAGACATACAGCTAATCTGTTCCTCAAGATGTATTGTCTATATGTATATTTATAACTCATCCTCTGATTCCCCTCCCTCAAAATCCAACCTACTTCACAGACTTCATCACTGAAAGGAAAGAAGAAAACTACTTTCAGGAGGGAAAGGTAAAAGTGCTCTGACTAGCAACTCTTGGGCAGAAAAACCCACATTAGAAATGTACCTATAGACAGTCTAAATAACTGCTATTGGCAAGTACCCAGTCTTTCTTCCAGATAAATGGTCCAGAACTATTCAGTTTAGTCATGCATTCATTCTGTATTTCTAAGACAGGATGGTATCTTTTATTCTACTTATTCTAATATAGCACACTGAAAGCAGAAAGTGAGAATCAGGACAAGCAGTCACTTCAAGCAATTTGCTGTGAATTCCATGTAGATATCGATTCCTGTAGATATCAAAAGTAGAGAACAGGAAGGAAAAGAGCAGAACAGACAAGGACAACTATCTTTAGAAATCTCTGCTGTCATAAAGTGAGTACATTTCCTTTTATCTTGTATGCTTATTCTGATGTATGTTTCATTCTAGTTGTTAGCTGTACTCCATTCACTAAGGAGGTCAGTACTGTAACAGTTTTGCTGTAGAGGAGTAAGACGGAATTGCATCCAACTAAAAGTGAACATTCATGCCTAAGCTAATTTCTCTAAGCAAGCCACCTTTCTGCATGTATAACAAAGGTCTGGTCAATGTAGCCCAGGGCACAGTTCATCCCATTCTAGAGCTGCTATCACTAGCAGGCCAGATCAACAAATCCATTTCTCTTCACATAAAAAGACATTATCATAATTACACTGCCATAATTTAGAGAAAATGAGTCACATCTTGAATGACTACTGTATTAAAATAGGCTTCTTAGATTCTACACTACATTATGCTTCATAAAAATAGATCTGTAAACCCTGACTCCATCTTTGTATTCCCCAAAGACAGAGTCATTTTTTACAGAAATACTAGAAATTGCATGGGGCTCTTTTAAAATCCCCAAGTTTTTGAAGTCATTGATGTTTTTTGGTAACTTAAAATTAAAGACCATATATAATGTGCTTACAATCTGCATTTTCATAGATTTACTTTAAATGTTTATGGGTAGAAATTATATCATCATTCATTTGGTTAGTAAAGGAGAAAAATGTGTTAAATATGTTTTTAATACATCAAACATTTGTTCTAATATCATTGTTCTTGCATCATTCAAGAGGAAAGTTTTCCTTCCATGTGACTCTGATTTGGTTCTTAAATAAATCACTTGTGAAAACAGGGTAATAGAATAACAAGATTAATGTGTAATCTAAGAAAAAAACTAAATTCAGGATATATAAAATGTTAAAATAAAGCAATGTTGACGGAGAGAGAATGGAGATCTGTCTGACATTAGATCTGTCTAATCCTAGGTCCCTCCTACTTTTCAAATGTCCTTAATAAGGTCAGCTTTGTTTATAGCAATATATATACATATATATATAATATCAAGGCAGAACTGAGAAAGGATTAAGCTAAGGATAGATGTTATTAATTAAGTGGTCAGTTTTACCTACTGTCTATTTTCTGCTAGGACTCTGAGAGGCTAGTTCGGTCAACAGCAATATTGTGCTTTTTTCTTTCTAGGCACTCTTGCCTTTCTCCAATATGATTTTTTTTCTGACCTTTGCTTGTACATATATCACATCTTTTAAAGTTTTTGTTTTGGATTAACCAATGTGCTTCTTGTACAAATTTTTACATCATTTCTTGACATACCGTACTTCATAGTGATGCACAACATGTAATAACACATCATTTTCCTGTTGTCCAAAAAAAAACAACAAACAAACAAAATTTATGCACACTTACAAAGGGCCTGATAAAAGAATGCATTATGGAAGTACAGCATGTTTCTCCAACCACAAACTAAACTTGGAATTTCTGTTGGGTAGCTCCACAGATGATTTATCTCTATGTGTGTGTCTGTTCTTCAGTGTAATAGAAGAATAATTACAGATGAAAGTTACTAACATAACTGCCACATCAGGAACAACTCTTAATGTATATTTGATCTGGTAGTTCAGGATACTAATATTTCAAGGTTTATCTTGTTAAAGGTAGATTCAATAAAGCATACAATAATCTAGTTTTGCAGATGTTTATTATTT